AGACAGGAGAGGTCTGCTGCGCCATGTGGTCACTTCCTGGCCAAGGCTGAAACTCAATGAGCTGCAGTGGCTGCAAACAGCTTCTTAGTGCTGAGACTAACCCCTGTACCCCCAGGGAGGCCCTCAACAGCTTTTCTGGCCTGGTCTAACTTCGCCCTGCTGGAGGAGTGTAACAGGGTGGTCCCCAGGAAAGTCTCCTATGTTTTGTGTTGATGCGGCGGATGGCAGAACCCATTTAGAATAGGCAGGTTTGCGGGGCTTGGGCTGCCCCTCTCCCTGTCCTATAACAGGAGGAAGCCTGGGGCCGCAGCCACACACACCCCTTCCCCCTTCCACCTGCACCCCTCCCCCCACGCCTGCCCCTTGGGCTGCTCTCCTGAGGCTGGGGGAGGGCACAGGGCAGCGGTGGAGCCGGGCAGGGGGCAGTCGCCACGCCTCTGAGCCGCCCAGGCTTCTGACCCCTGGGGATGGTCCCCTCACTGGAATTTTGAAGGTTTCATAACTGTCCCAATATTCATTTTGATGAACATTTTCATGAAATTTGATTTTGGAATTCTGTCTCATGTAGTGAGGTCTTCAAACATACACATATTTTTTTTTTAAAAAAAGATTTATGTATTTATACAAGAACCCGGGTACAGGCGAGATGCGCAGGAGGTTGAGAGGATTCACCAGAGACAGAGTGGGGAACAGGACAGGCAGACTGACGAAATACACTGCTGAGGGGAGCAGCGGGCGAGACGGGAGAGGTCTGCGCGCCATGTGGGACCCTCGCCCGACTGGCCGGGAATCGAACCGGTGCTTCAGAGGCTGCGGGCAGCTTCACAGCATGGCGCTCAACCGTCTGTGCCACCAGGGGAGGCCCCATACACGTATTTTTCAAATTAAAAAATAAATAATTCTTGGTCCTCCCAGGGCCCTGGATGTGTCAGTCTCAGGCGGTCACTGGCCAGGAGCTGACCCACAGGGCGCAGGAGCCCCCCGCCCTCATCTCCCGTTGCCCCTCAACAGTGTGTCTCTGAGGATGCACCTGTTCTGCTCCCCGCTCTGTCTCTGGGGAGTCCTCTTCCTGCCACCTCTGGCCTGCACCCCAGATCCTCTACACACACACACGTCTTAAAAACTCTGTTTTGATCAGCTGCTTTTTGGAAAGCAAACTTCTGACTCTTCCTCCCAGCCTGGGGCCCCAGGGCAGGGCGGCCTTATCAGCCCCTGCAAGCACCAGGCGGCCCCCACCCACTGCCAGCTGTGCACAGGCCCCTATCTCTGCCGCCCAGAGCAGCATTCTCTGGCACCAGCAGCCACAACAACCTGGGTGGGCTGCCGAGCTCACCCTCCTGGCCCCAGGCGGGGTGGGGGGGTGGGGGGGTTGGAGGGGTGCGGCTTGTCTAGCGGCTGAGAGGTCGAAATGGTGACCCTGGTGGTCCACAGCCTCTGCAGCGTGGGTTCGATCCTGGCCGGCCAGTGAGGGTCCCACATGGCGCGCAGACCAATCCTGCCTGGCCCGCTGCTCCCCTCGGCAGTGTATTTCATCAGTCCGCCTGTTCTGCATCCTGCTCTGTCTCTGGTGAATCCTCTCACCCTCCCGTGCATCTGGCCCATACTCTGGTTCTTGAATAAAATAAATAAATCTTTAAAAAAAAAATGGTGACCTTGGGCCTGGGGTTCAGCCGGCCTGCCCAGCCACCAGGTGCCATCCGCAGCCGCACAGTGTCGGAGATGGGGGACCCTGGCCCACATCTCAGGTGGGGAAACTGAAGCCAGACATGGAGATGGGCCTGAGCCCGCAGAGCCAGAACCCTGGGCTACACTGAGGAGCTGCTGCAGCGGGCCGTCCCCTGACTTCCAGGCCTCGAATTCCTTGCCTGGAAACATGTCACGACTATAGAGATGAACAGACCCGCTCAGAGAGCTGTGGGGCAGCGCCCCTGACCTGAGGAGTGCCGCTGCCAGGGCCAGCACTGGGAAGGCCACAGGACTCCCACAGGGGCAGTGGCCGGAGGGCCCACACAGAAGCCCCTTCTCACCTGGCCCCAGCTTTTACTTGTTTTTTCTTGTTTTCTTTTTTTTTAAGATTTATTTTTATTTATACAAGAGCTGGGGGACAGGCCAGATGTGCAGGAGGGTGAGAAGACTCACCAGAGACAGAGCGGGGAACAGAACAGGCAGACTGATGAAATCCACTGCTGAGGGGAGCCGCGGGTGAGACAGGAGAGGTCTGCTTGCCATGTGGGTTTCTTCCAGGCTGGCTGGGATTGAACCCGCGCCGCAGAGGCTGTGGACAGCTTCACAGCACTGCGCTCAACTACCTGCGCCACCAGGGAGGCCCCTGTTTTTTCTTTTCTTAATTGAGATGATTTGCAGAGGTAACCATTTTATATTTTTTTAAGAGTTCAGTTTGGGCCTCCCAGGGCCCTGGGGTCAGTCTCAGTTGGTCACCACTATGGCCCAGGCCCATCCCTGGCTAGGAGCTGACCCACAGGGTGCAGCAGCCCCTCCTGTCTCCCCACTGTCCCCTCATCAGTGGATCCACCTGTTCTGCTCCCCACCCTGTCTCTGGGGAGTCCTCTTACCCCCACACCTCTGGCCTAGACCCAGTTCTTCTACACACATACACACACACACACACACACACACACACACACACTAAAGAATTCAGCTTGTTTTCTTTTCTTTTTTTTGAAAAGATTTATTTATACATACAAGAACCAGGGTACAGATCAGATGTGTGGGAGGTGAGAGGATTCACCAGAGACAGAATGGGGAACAGGACAGGCAGACTGACCGAAATATACTGCTGAGGGGAGCAGTGGGCGAGACAGGAGAGGTCTGCCGCGCCATGTGGGCATCTCCCCGGCTGGCCGGGATTGAACCTGTGCTGCAGAGGCTGCGGGCAGCTTCACAGTGCTGCACTCAACACCCTGTGCCACCACGGAGGCCCTCAGCTTGTTTTCTTGCTAAGAATTCATTTTTTCAGTGAACTTGTTACAGCAGGGCCGGAGCCCAGTCCCACCATCTCCAGGGCCCTCCCGCTGGGGGCCAGGGTGCTGAGGATGGCGAGCAGGGCCAGTGCCAGCACAGACTCCACTGCTTCAAGCAGAGGGGCCAGTGGGATTCTGTGTGCTCACTGTGGGGTGCAGCCGACCTCACTGTGCAGTCAATGAACATTTTCTGCAGCCCCCCAAAACTGAGTGCCTAGGAAGCAGCCCCCAGCTGCCTCCTCAGGCCAGCCTGGACCTGCACTGGGATGTGTGCTGCTCAGTGCGCTTCCATCTGGAGGCCTCACGCTGCTAGCGTGCCCGCGCCACCTCTGGCGGGAGACCCTGTCCCTGGACTGGTGTGATTTCAAACAGGACTAAAAACATCATTCAGCTTGGCTGCAGCTGTTCAGCCGACACCAGTGTGGCGCGAGTGGAGGCCAGCGGCAGCCCGGGGCACTGGGCACAGGTGGCGAGAGATTGTCTGACCCCTGCGCTGAGGGCGCTGTAGGGTAAATGATTGTCAGGCTTTTCTGCCCTCCTACCATTAGGACTGATGATGGATCCCTGCAGTCCTGCATGCATGCCTGATGGTGGCACCTGGAGTGGGGTGTGGGCAGACATAAGTGGGTGCACCTGGGCTGAGATGGGGCTTATAAAGGCAGCAGCACAGGGAAGCAGCAGAGCAGAATGACGGGAAGGAGAATAAGCGAGAGACCAGCAGAGGCCGCGAGAGTTGCTGGAGAGCCCAGAAAGAGTGAAGACTCACTGGGGGCTGGGAGGCCTGCCAGCCCCCGGTCCCCTGGCCTGCCGTGTACCTGGTAAACTCAATAAAACCCTGAGAAAGCCACGGAGGGCTCCAGGACTCTCCTTTACCTGTCTGCTCTGCTTCTAGAGAACCAGCTCTGTACCTTCCTGGCACTACAGTCGCCGAGGGAGGGGCTGGAGGCCCCTCCACAGGGCCCCTGCAGGGCACCGAGTGGCTGTGGGAGCCAGGGGCAGCCTGCACAGGTGGGGAGCAGCTGGTTTTCTCAGTGAGTGGAAGACGAGCAGCTGGCCAGAGCTCAGGCAGCAGAAAGCCTGCCCATGCCTGGCTCCCAAGGTGCCCTGTGTGGGGCTCCAGGGTTGGGGGTTAGACCTGGGACAGGGGAGGTAAAGGAGAAACTAGGGGCCTCCCTGGGGCGCAGGGTCAAGTCTCAGTGCCGTCCAGCTACCCGCAGCCACTATGGCCTGAGTCCACCCCTGGCCCCGGAGCTGCGCACAGGGTGCCGTGGACCCCTCCTGTCTCCTGCTGCCCCTCAGCAGTCTCAGTGGACCCGCCTGTCCTGCTCCCCACTGTCTCTGGGGAGTCCCCTCACCCCCGCGCCTCTGGCCTGCACCCCAGCTCTTGTATGCATAAATAAATCTAGCAGGGTGCAGGCCAGAGGCGCGGGGGGGGGGGAAGAGACAGAGTGGGGAGCAGGACAGGCGGGCCCACTGCGGAGGGCAGCGGCTCCGAGGCGGGGGTGGGGGGCTGCGGCGCCCCCGGGTCAGGCCGGCCGCGGACGGCTGCCGGCAGCTTGACGGTGCTGAGACGTGACCCCCGCGCCCCCAGGAGGGCCCGCCACGGGCTTTTATTAATTAATGAATTTATTTACACGAGCGCGGGGCGCGGGCAGAAGCCGGCGGGGGGGGCGCGCCGGAGCCGAGCGGGCGCCGCGCTCACAGGCCGACGGGGCGCGGGCGGCGGGGAGGGCGGGGGGGTCTGCGCGCCACGCGGGGCCCTCGCCGGCGGCCGGGCATCGAACCGGCGCGGCAGAGCCGCGGGCAGCCGCGCAGCCCGGCGCTCACCCGCCGCGCCCCGGGGGGCCCCCGACACGGGCTCTTCCCCGCGCCGCGGCCCCGCGGGGAGCAGACGCGCGCCCACAGCCGCCAGGCCCGCGCCTGCGCAGACGCCCCGCCCCGCCCGCCCGCCCGGCCGGAAGTCTCGCGCGCCGTGTCTCGCGAGGGTTGGCCTGAGGCGCCGCCCGCCGCCCGCCGCCCGCCGCCCGCCGCCCGCCGGCATGGGGGACAACACCAGCCCCATCAGCGTGATTCTCGTGAGCTCGGGGAGCCGGGGCAACAAGCTGCTGTTCCGGTACCCCTTCCAGCGCGGCCGCGAGCGCCGCGCGTCCCAGACGAGTAAGTGCGCGCGCGCCCGACGGGGAGACGCCCCGCCCCGCCCCCACGCCCCGCCCCCGCCCGCGGCCCCCAAGACACGCCCCATCCCCCACGAGACACGCCCCGCCCCCCACGACAGCCCCGCCCCGCCCCCACGACACGCCCCCACGACACGCCCCGCCCCCACGACACGCCCCATCCCCCACGAGACACGCCCCGCCCCCCACGACACGCCCCGCCCCCATGACACGCCCCATCCCCCACGAGACACGCCCCGCCCCCACGCCCCGCCCCCCACGACACGCCCCCGCCCGCGGTCCCCCAGAGACACACGCCCCCGCCCGCGCCCCCGCCCTCCACGCCCCGCCCCCCACAACACATGCCCCCGCCCGCGGCCCCCCAAGGCACATCCCCGCCCCCCACGAGACACGCCCCCGCCCACACCCCCAACGAGAGACGCCCCCGCCCGCGCCCCCCCACGTCCCCGCCGCCCAGAAACACGCCCCCGCCCGCGCCCCCACGAGACACCCCCGCTTCGCACCCCCAGGGGAGGCGCCCCCCCACTCGCCCCCGGCCCCGCCCCCCAGACCCGCGCTTCCCCTTGGGCCTCTTGGAACCCCCTGGACGCGGCCCCTGCTGGGGACGCCCCTCCGCGGAGGGCAGGGGGTGCGGGGGCGCCTCCGGGGCGGGGCCCCGCCTGTCCCCCCGCGGCCCGTGGGCGTCCCCGTCTCCGGCCGCGCCCGCCGCCCCCTGCGCCGCCTCCCGGCCGGGCCTGGCCCCCCGTCCCCGGGTGCCGTGCGGGCGGCCTCGCGAGGACGGGGCCGCGCCTGGGCTCCCGCCGCCGGGCCACGGACTCGCGTGCCGCCCGCCCCGCCCGCCCCGCCCGGCCCGGCCCGGCCCGAGGACCCCCGCTGGAGTCGCCGCGGAGGCGGGCGCCTGGCCGCGGGGTCTCTTCGCGCGTGGCGCGCCCCGCACCGCCGCCCCCGCGCCCCCCAGACGCCCCCAGACGCCCCTGGCCCCACCCCAGGCCGCCCCAGGCGCCCCGCAGGGAGCTGGGCCTCCGCCTCGGGCAGACGCGCCCAGCCGGCCTGTCCTCGTCCTCGCCCTCGTCCTCGCAGGCCAGGCGCGCAGCAGGTACGCGGTCAACAGCAGCGGCGACCACGCCGACGACCAGGACGGCGACGCCAGGTGAGGGCCCCGCCGCCCGCGGTGCCGCGCCCTGGGCCCGGGTGTTTCCCGGAGAGCCCGGTTCCTCCCCGGGGGTGTTTTCCCGCGAAGCCAGGCCCGATGCCGCTGCCGCGCCGGCCCTCTCCGGGCAGGGCAGGGAGGACGCGGTCTTACGAGCAGGCGCGGCCAGGCCGGGTCCAAGGAGCTGCGCCCCGCTGCCCGCAGGCCCCGCACGGCCCGCGCGACTCCCCGGCTGTGCTTTCACCCCTTTCTGCGACGCTCTGTGTTGGGAGTTGCGGACCCCCATGGAGCCCGGGGCGTCCCCACTCCGGCCGGCAGCTCTCAGGCACTGGCAGGGTGTCGCGGGCGCAGGCCCGTGGCTCAGTCTGCCCCGAGACAGTGCGGGACCCAGGGCTGGGAGCCACGCTGGAGCAGTGCCGGTGGCTGCTGCCCGCTCTGCCCGCCGGCGTGTGCCAGAGGCTCCTTCTGCAGAGCCGCCGAATTTGCTGGAGCAGGTCACAGAACTCGGGACACCCGTTATGCGCTTGGTTAACAATTTGTTTATTTTTTATTTTATTTTAAAGATTTATTTGTTCTTGTACAAGAACGGGGGAACAGGCCAGAGGCGCAGGAGGGTGAGAGGATTCACTGAAGACAGAGCAGGGAGCAGAACAGGCAGACTGACGAAACACACTGCTGCAGGGGGCAGCGGGCGCGGCAGGAGAGGCCTGCTGTGCCATGTGGGATTCTCGCTGGCCGGCCAGGATAGAACCTGCGCTGCAGAAGCTGTGCACAGCCTCACAGCGCGGCGCTCAACCGCCTGTGCCACCAGGGAGGCCCAGCAATTTATTTACGTGTGGAAGAACTGGGGTGCAGGCCAGAGTGTGTGGGTGGTGGCCACTGGGAAAGGGCAGCCCTGGGCCGTGGCACCATCAAGTGGAAGATTGAGGATTGAGCCCCTCGGTCACCGTGGCCATGTGTCGGGGGGCGACGAGGCCCCTGACCCTGGGACACCCCGTGTAGCAGAGGCACAGCCAGGCTCCTCCGCGCCTCGCCCTGGCCCCACAAGGCAGGTGGGCAGCTCGGCCTCTTTCTGGCTGGCGGCCATCCCTGGGCAGGGGAGGGTGCTGTGGCTGCGGAAACAGCTGAGGGTCCCTGCTCCAGTTCTGTCTGTGCGAGAGCCGGGCCGCACGGGAAGGGGCCCCGCAGGCATCTGCCAACCGGGCAGCAAGGCCTGGAGCGGGGCCTGACTGCAGGTGCCCGGCTGGCCTTTGGGCCTGGGCAGGGGGTGCGGACGACGCTGGGGTCAGTTCATCTGCGTGGCTGCGGAGCCCGGCCCTCCCCGCAGGCCCTCCCCTCTGTGGGGCGCAGGGTGGCTGGAGCCTGCAGGCCTACAGCTGCACAGGGTGGGCAGTGGCTGGGCCGGCTGGCAGCCGGGGCCCCACTCAGCCTGGAAAGGGCCCACAGCTGCTTATGTGGTTGGGCCCGAGTGCCTGCGTCCCGCATTGTGGCCCAGACTGGCCCAAGGCCAGTGGGCCGAGCTGGCCCGAGCCCTGTTCTCTGAGCATTCGCCCAGCTTCCTCAGAGAGCGGGCCGTGGCCGCCCCCCACGCTCAGGTAGGCCCCCGGGAGCCGGCCATTGTGGCTTCTGCCTGCCCAGGGCCCGAGTGGAGCTGGGAGAGCCGGCCTCTGCCCTGAGCCAATGTGGGAAGCACTTCCTGGTGAAGTCTCCAGACCAGGGGCCCTGGGCCAGGCTGTGGGATGAGAGTCTGCATCCCCAGGCTCCGCCCTGCAGCCTCCTCCTGGCCAGCCACTCTCCCTTCCCCGGCCCCCCGGGGCCGGGGAGGGGAGAGCCAGTCAGGCGCAAGGCACAGACGGGCTCCACAAGCCCTCTGCTTTTCCCCTGTCGCCCCCGCCCGCCCCCCCCCCCCCCACCGTTGGCTCACAGCCCCGGGGCCTCAAGTCCGCCTCCGCAGGCTGCTTCACAGGATCATGGGGAGTGCGGGAGCTCAGTGCCGACTGCAGGAAGGTGCAGGCCCTACTCTGGCCTGCGGGCGCTGGGGTGCGAGCCGTCAAGAGGCCCCGCCTGTGGGCCTGGCCGTGGGTCCGTCTGCACACCACGAGCCGAGGGGTGGCCCAAGCTGGCAGCCTGCCCCTTGCCTGTCCTGTGCTCCGCGGGGCCTCACGCCTGGCTGGGACCTGCCTGCGGGTTGGGGGAGTGTCTCCGAGGGCTGCGGGTACGGCGTCCTGCCGGGTGCTGCCACTTCTCCTTTTTTCCATTTTGAGGTTTTCAGATGTCATTTTGGCCACGATTTTGGCCACCAAGTCCGAGATGTGCGGCCAGAAGTTTGAGCTGAAGATCGACAACGTGCGCTTCGTGGGGCACCCGACGCTGCTGCAGCACGCGCTGGGGCAGGTGCGCCGGGAACTGTCCCGGCTGTGGGGGCCTGTCCCGGCTCTGGACCCGTCCCGGCTCTGGGGTCCTGGCAGCTGCTGTGACCTGCCCTGGTGGATGCCGCCCTGGGTCTGCCTGTCCCTCGGGCTTCGGCGGCTCCTGCGTCTCTCTGGCCGCGGCCCCCATCTGCGCCTCTGATTCTCAGGGCTGCGGGGCTGGCTCTGCAGCCCCTTGGGCTCTGTGTGCGCGTATGCAACCTCTGCATGCGGAGGGACGAGCCCCGGCTCTGCAGGCCGGATTCCAGTGTGGCGCCAGAGACCCCTGCTCAGCAGGAGGGTTGGTGATGCGGCCCTCGCCCCCCACCCACCCTCGGAGGGCGCTCCTGAAGAGCCGGGGCCGCCTCCGTGGCAGTGCTGGCGACCTCTCGGACGGCACTGTCCCCTTGCCCTTGTTCTGCGGCTGGGTCTTTGCGCCCTCCAGCGCTTTTGGGTGCTGTTGGGACCTAGCGGCTGCCCCCAAAGCCTAGCGGCAGACAGGACCCTGGAGCTGGCTCCGTGCCGTGGGCCTACGGCTTGTCCTGTCTTGGCACCCCCAGCCCTGCCCTGCTGGTGGAGGTGCCTGGAGCGCACAGGGGGCCCCCCGTCCTGTCTCCCGGCAGTCTCGGTCACGTCCACTGCCAGGGCTCGTCCCCGGACTTGCCGCTGCCTCCTGCCTCACGCGTAGGGACGCCCCATCCCATGCTGGTGCGGCCCGGTCTCTGGCTCTGCCGACCCGGGACCCCCCGGCCTCGGCAGGGTGGCTCCGCGCAGCCGTGGGGCAGCTGGTCTCGCCCCTCAGCTGCACGTCCTTGCAGGTCTCCAAGACAGACCCGTCCCCCAAGAGGGAGGCGCCCACCATGATTCTCTTCAACGTGGTGTTTGCCCTGAGGGTGAGTGCGGCCGGGCGCCCTCCTTCACTGCTTCCCTCGTCTTTTTCCTTTTTAAAGAAATGTAATTTATTTATGTGTATGAGAGCTGGGGTGCAGCTCAGAGGTGGGGGTGAGAGAACTCCCCAGAGATAGGGTGGGGAGCAGAGCAGGTGGGTCCCCTCCTGAGGGGCAGGGGGTCTGCTGTGCCCCGAGGGTTGGCTCCCGGCCGGGGATGGCCTGGGCTGTGGTGGCTGGCGCCAGCTTAACGGTGCTGAGATTGGCCTCTGCGCCCTCGCCCTTGAGGGGGTGCAGGGGACTGTGGCTACGAGGGGCCCAGACAGACAGAAAGCAGTGCCCTGGGGAGGGCCTGGCTTGTGCTGTGGGGGGATTGGCACCCCCAGGAAGTGTCTCTCCACCGTTGTCCAACAGTGGAGTGTTGGAAAGACCCCGTTTCCAGTGTCCTCTAGTCCAGCAGGGCTCTGGCCGGCGCTGCCCCTGTGTGGCACCCCCCCTCCCGGGTACAGCGCAGCCTGTGCTGAGGCCGCATGGGGCCCAGGCGGGCGGTCAGGTGGGTGCCACGCTCAGCCTGTCACTCGGCGAGGCTCTCACGTGGAGACCACGGCTCTCCCCGCTGCCCACGTGGGGCAGGAGCTGCGGCTGGAGAGGGCCGCCCCTTGGGCAGCAGGTCTTTGGGGTCTCCGCTCTGTGTGTGCCTTCTGTGCTGGCTGGCCCGGCTTTGTTGTTCTAGGGGGCGCCTGACCGGGGGCGGGGGGAGGGTGCTGCCTGGCCTGGCATGCCAAGGGCGTCTCTGCCGGTGGGTCCCCGGCCCGCGGTAACGCTGCTGCTCGTGGCTCAGCCTTTGGTCCAGGAGCGGCCGTGGGGGCCTGCCGGCAGATAAGGGGCAACCCCGCAGGCTAATCAGCAGCACCACAGCCTCCCTGCCCCGGGTGACTCAGCGCCGGCTGCAGCCCAGGCAGGCCGAGCTATCTGCCTTGGGTCTGCCACACCCCTGCCAGGTTCCGCTTCAGGAGGGCGGTCGGTGGCCCCTGGCCTCCTGCCGGCCAGGCCCGTCTCACAGGGCAGGCCCTGGGGGCATGGTCTGTGTGGCTGCTTGCCAAGCCCTGTGTGTCCCTGTCGAGATGTAGCTTTGCGTGGCCCTTGGGGTCCCCGCCAGTCCAGGGTGACCACACATGTGGCTGGTCGTCAAGGGGGTGCCCCTGTCATCTTTCTGAGGGAACTTGTGGCCAGGGTGGGCGGCGGCCTTGCCGGGCCCAGGGTGGACCTGAGCGTGTCCTGCCCTGGAGATGCCCTAGCTGGCGCCCGGCCTGTGCAGCCTCTTCGTGTCCCCTGCTGGTTCTCGCCAAGCCCTTGGACACCTGTCCCCACGGTTGCGCTGGTGACCGTCGCGTCCGCGCAGACCCAGGGGCACAGGGCTGGCGCCAGCTGCCCACAAGGACCGGCCAGGGGTGGGCAGGGCTCTCTCGCCTGGGCTCCCTGTGCCGCCCCAGCCCTGGCTCTCCCACAGGCCAACGCAGACCCCTCGGTCATCAGCTGCCTGCACACGCTGTCCCGGCGCATCGCCACAGTGCTGCAGCACGAGGAACGGCGCTGCCAGTACTTGACGCGGGAGGCCCGGCTGATCCTGGCTCTGCAAGACGAGGCGTCTGCGGCCGCCGACGGTGAGCGTGCAGGGCCCGGGGCCGGTGCTGGCTGGTCCGGCCGCTCTACAGGGATGCCACATCTGTGAGGCAGGGCCAGCGGGGCTAGGTCATGATGCAGAGCCTGGGGCAGCCTGTCCGTCTTCTGCTGAGGGGCCGAATCCTCAGCCTCCACCTAGTTTTAACCCACCAGGATGCGGGAGAGGCTCCCAGTGCTGGCCATGCCACTGCAGCTTGCGCGAGACGGCTCTAGCCTGCCCTGTGCCTGGGGCTCTGAGTCTGGCTGTTGTCCCTGCAGCGGACGAGGGACCCCCGTCACCTTTCCACCACATCCTGCCCAAGTGCAAGCTGGCCCGGGACCTCAAGGAGGCCTATGACAGGTGGGCGGCCCAGACCCTCGCCAGCAGTGGCCGGGACCCCACAAGCCTGTTCTCCTGGGCGCTGCCCCTCGCTCCACGGCGGCACTGCCGGGATCGGCTCGGGGCTGGGGCACAGCTGTGGGGCGCAGCACAGGAGCCCCTGCGTGCTCTTGACGGGTCCGGCTCGCTGCTTCCTGGGGTGTCCACTCCGCTCTGCGTGCCTGCATCCTGTACCCCCAAACAGGCCAGGCCACAGAGCTGCAGTCGGGCCGCTTGTCGGGGCCACTGCTCTGTCCAGTCCAGCCCGAGGGCAGCTTTGTTGAGCTTTTCCTTTGTGCTGCTGTTTTCTGATGTCACCAGCTACACTCTTTTAAAGATTTATTTATGCATACAAGAGCTGTGTGTGGGGGCAAGAGGTGTGGGGGTGAGAGGATTCACCAGAGACAGCGGGGAGCAGAACAGGCAGACTGACTGAAATACGCCGCTGAGGGGAGCAGCGGGGAGACAGGAGAGGTCTGCTGCGCTGAGTTCGATCCTGGCCTGAGTTCGATCCTGGCCGGGATCCTCAGCCTCGCCATCTGAGACTTAACCCTTGCACCACCAGGGAGGGCCCCCAATTACACTTTTTAAAAAAACGTTTATTTATGCATACAAAAAGTGGGGTGCAAGCTGGGGGGCTGTTGAGAGGACTCCCCAGAGACAAAGTGGGGAGCAGAGCAGGTGGATCCCCTGAGACACACTGCTGAGCGGCAGCAGGAGATGGGGGGGGGTGGTCTTCTGCACCCTGTGGCGCAGCCCTGACCGTGACCCAGGACAGACTGGCCTGCGGACAACTGCCCCACCTGCGGCCACCTGAGGCCTCCCCTGCGGGAGAGGGCTGTGGCTGGGAGCCTTGGGCCTACGCTGAGCGGAAATTCGGCTTGTCAGCCGGCCTAGAGTCAGCAGGTCAGAGCGGAAGTGACCAGCAGGCAGGATGCGCGCTCCATGTTGTAAGGCGCCCTCCACGGGCATCATGACACAGGGCGGGAGTTGTTCTGGCCCAGAAAGGAGCCCAGAGTCCCCTGTGGCCGGCTTCCCACCCTGCTCCCCGAGGTCAACGGCCACGCCCAAGCCGGCGCCGTCCTCCCCGTAGCCCTGGTCCCCTGCCCAGCCTGGCCTTGGGGTGCCACCACCAGAGCTCCCAGCTGCAGCCTCCCTGGTACTGCCCGTCCACCGCCCTGGAAGGCCTGAGAAGGCCCCTGGCTGGTCCCGGCGGAGCCTCTCACTGTGGGGTCTGGCGAGTGGGGCAGGTCCCCTGAGCGGAGATGGGCTTGAGGCTGAGCGCGGGTGGGCGCTGCATGGGTCTTGCCCTGGGCTCGCTGTTCTGACTCAGGTCGGGATTGGTAAGCACCGCCAGTCCACACAGCTGGGTGCATGGACCGCACTCGCGGGGCCTTCACCCCTGGCCCCACGCACCCTCGGGGGCTGCTGTGATGCCAGGGCAGGCCTCCTGGTGCCCGCCGGTGCCCCTGCGCTGCTGTTACGGCAGTTCCCCAGAGAGGTCAGGCAGCGCTCAGCGAGGAGGAGGCAGGGGGAATCAGTCACTTGCCACAGCGGCCAGGGAGCCCCGAGGCAGCAGCGGTGAGGTGTTACACGGTGAGCAGCGGAGGCTTGTCACCAGCCGCCGAGGGCTTCCTCACTGTGTGGGAAGGGGCCGAGCAGCCGTGGCCACTGCTGTGGATGGGCAGCAGCCCTCCTGGCCCGGTCAGTTGCAGACCCAGCCTCTTCCTGTCTCGGTGCCCCTGGGTGCCCTGGCCTGTCCTCCTCTGGGTAGGAGACCGAGGACTCAGGCTGGCTCTGGCTGGCAGGGAGGGGGCAGGTGTTTGGGGTGCTCCCGGGGTGGGCGGGGCCGGGGAGCAGCGTCTTCCCTGGGCCCACAGATAGGGGTGCAGGTGGGGGCCGGCACCTATCTCCCTCTGCAGACACCGCGCCCAGGGCCCTGCACAGTGCTGGATAAGCCTCGCCCGGCAGCTGTTTGCTGCGGTGTTTGCAGCGTCAGCACCAGCTGCCCCCAGACCCCCTCCGCGGCCCTCAGTGGCCAGGCCCAGGCCTGTGTCTGGGCCCAGCACAGCCAGAAGCAGCGTCTCCCCTGCCCACCACCCCCTCTGGGTGTGGGTGCCTGCCTGGCCTAGGTGTGCTGACCTGGGGGTCTGCGGGGTCCAGGGCCTGGTGGGGGCCCACTGCCCAGTTCTGGGAGATGCCGAGCCTCAGGGATGGGCTGGGTCTCCCCGAATCCTGACACTCCCCATCCTGCCAGCGGCCTCACCCCATGGCTGCGGCGCCCAGACCAGCTTGCGGCCAAGGTCTCGCCGAGGGCCCAGGAGCGGGGCCCATGTTGCAGGAGCCACGGGCTGTCTCCCCCGCCCACCCCCCGAGACAAGCCCTCGCGTGCGCGTCTGAACTGCTGATGCCCCCACAGGGAGCAGCTGCCTGGGCTGGCCTGCCCCTTGGCCACTCTGCAGGCACGCGGGGGGTGGTGGTGGGTGCGCCCTGCGGGGAAGGTATTGCTGTGGGCTGTCCGAGGCCCTGGGGCTGTGTTCCCCGTGCAGCGCGTGCCCTGCTCTGGGCCGGCCCGAGGGTCACCTGTGCCGGGTGCGCGTGGGGCCAGGTGTTGTGACCTGGTTCTCAGCCGCTTCTTGCCCCAGGGGCCTGCGGGTGGCGTGGGCCTGAGCAGCCTTGTTCGAGGCAGGTGGTGTGTTCTCTGGGCAGGAGACCTGTCCCCCCATACGCGGCCCGGCCTGGGAGAGGCCTGACGAGGGCAGCCGGGGCCACGGGGGTGCCTGGCCGCCTCTCTGCAGAGACATGCTCAGGCCGGGCCCGAGCGGGAGGGCCCCGTGTCCCCACTGACACGCGCCCCCTGCAGCCTGTGCTCTTCGGGGGTAGTGCGGCTGCACGTCAACAGCTGGCTGGAGGTGAGCTTCTGCCTGCCCCACAAGATCCACCGAGCTGCGACCAGCCTCATCCCGCCCGAGGCCATCGAGCGCAGCCTGAAAGCCATTCGGTGAGCGAGGGCCCCGCCCGCCTCGGCTCCTCCGGCCCCTGCCCTGGCCCCCCCAGGCTCCCCCGGCCCCCCTGGCTCCCACGGCCCCCTCCCCGCCCCTGCCCGGGCCCACTGCCCTGGACGCGCTCACTGCTGCCCAGCCGGCTGGGGCTGATTTCCTGTGGCCATGGCGAGGGCCGCAGGCCTGCTGTCAGAGTGAAAACGTGTTTGTGTCCAGTCTAGTCCAGAAACAGGCAGCCCAGGGGCCCCAGCCCCATCTGGGGGAGTGGGTGCTACGCTGGGGGTTCCTGCTGCTGCCTGCACTGGAACTGGACGCGCGACCCCCTCACGTGGCTCAACCCTGCAGGCCGAGCCCAGACCCTCCCAAGGCCCCTTCGCCCTCCAGTGGCCCCCTGAGAGGAATGGGGTGTGGCAGCATCACTTGGGGTGACAGAGCTGCCCATGGCGCCTACCCGCCCAGCCCTCCTTGGGGAAGACACGCTCCGGCCAGCGGCCAATGGGGTTGCCGGGCAAGGCTGGCCCTGGCTGCTCTGCTCTCGTGTGTGTGTCTTCCCGGAGTGGCGGGCAGGGGCGCTGCTGACCGCACCCCCTGCAGCCCCTACCACGCCCTGCTGCTGCTGAGTGACGAAAAGGCCCTGCTGGCTGAGCTCCCGCTGGACTGTTCCCCGGCCCTGGTCCGCGTGGTCAGGACGGCCTCCGCCGTGAAGAACCTGCAGCAGCTGGCGCAGGATGCGGACCTGGCTCTGCTGCAGGTATCGCCCACCGGGCCTGCCAGACGGGGGTGGGGGGGGTGGCACCCACTGCTGTGGCCCAGGCCCTCGGCCCCGGACACCTGCAGGGCGCATGGGCTTAGGACGAGTTGTCCTCCTTGTGTGGGGAGCAGGGCTGCCCCCACCCCACCCGCAGCACCCTAGACGCCCTCGGGCTAGTTTGTCCGTGTGCTGCTGTCCTGATTTGGGGTGGGGGCTCCACCCTGGCCAGGGGCCTGGTTGCTGTGTGGGCTGTGGGTGGGGCAGGAGATGTCGGAGCAGGCAGGGGCTGGGCAGCCTGCGGCCGGGTCAGTGTGAGGCCTGGTTAACCCTTGGCAACGAGTGGCCACCAGGGGGCGGCAGGGCCCGGCGCGGGCTGGGAAGAGGGGGACAGTAGCTCGAGCAGCTCTCGTGGTCACCTGGAGAGAGCCCCTCAGCTGCCCCAGCCCCGGGGCGCTTGGGGGGTTCTGCCTGGTCTTCCCCTGGACTTTGGCGGGAGGGAATCTGTGCGGCCTTGTGGCTGCGTCCACCGCACCCCGGATGAGGGCAGCATTGTCTGGCTGTCCAGGGCCACCGCACCCACCACTGCCCCTGCGCCTGGGCGGGCTTTGCCTCTGCATCCTGTGCTCCCTCGCAGAGCCGCAGGCCTGGGGTTTCCTCCAGCCACCCTGACAGGTTTTTTTGTTTTTTTTTTTTAGAGGCATGTTTTATTTATTTATTTGTTTGTTTTGTTTATACAAGCACTGGGTACAGTCAGAAGCGCGGGAGGGTGAGAGAATTTACCAGAGCCAGAGCGGGGAGCAGAGCAGGCAGAAGGACCGAAGGACACTGCTGAGGGGAGCAGCGGGCGGCAGGAGAGGTCTGCGCGCCATGTGGGACCCTCCTCCGGTGGCCGGGGAGCAGCCGGGGATTGAACCGGTGCCGCTGAGGCTGCGGGCAGCTTCGCAACCCAGCGCTCAACTGCTGCGCCACCGGGGAGGCCCTGCCCTGACAGGTTTTATGACTAAACCAGGTGCCCCAAACCACAGCCACCAGTGGCGGAGGCCCTAGGGTGCTGTGTCCTGGAGGGGATGCTGCCAGCGCTCTGGCCGCCTGTGCATGGGGACGCCGCCTGTGATGGCAGAGGGAGCGGCCATGGGGGGCCAGATGCTGACCCTATGGGGTGGATGCGCCCACAGGGGGACCCTGCAGCCAGCGGGGCTGGAGGCCAGGACGTCCTGGGGGGTCCGGGTGCTGCCCCAAGTGCCAAGTGGTGGGGGGCCCTGTGGGTGGGGGAGGAGGGCGTGCACCCTGCCCAGGGCTCGAGCGAGGGGTCTGGGTGGAAGAGGAGCCTCGGGCTGGGCTCTGCCTGGGTGGGGTATCGGGGGGCAGCAGGCCTGGCCCCCCGGCATGGCTCATACCTGTGCCCCACGTGGGGTTCCCTGGAGCCTCCCCACCTGCCTGAGGCCTGGTAAGCAGGGTGGGGATGCCCCCGGGGTGCCGAGGCACCCTGGTCAGTGCGGGAAGGGCAGGGCTAGTGACCCCACACCCGGCCTCTGGCTGGCTAGCCTGAGCTGGCTGGGGACTTCTGCCTGCGCTGAGCTCCAGGCCGGGCCCCACCGCCCTCCCCGCCGTCCGCAGGTGTTCCAGCTGGCGGCGCACCTGGTGTACTGGGGCAAGGCCATCATCGTGTACCCACTGTGCGAGAACAACGTCTACATGCTGTCCCCGCATGCCAGCGTGTGCCTGTGAGTGCGGGGGGCGGGGCTCGGCCTCTGCACCCGAGGCTGCGCCCAGAGGTCTTGGCCACCCAGCTCCACTCTGCCCACCCCAGGCACTCCCTGCTGGCCGAGCAGTTCTCCAGCCGCTTCCCGTCCCACGACCTGCCGTCCGTCCTGTCCAGGTTCTCCCTGCCTGTCTCCCTGTCAGAATTTAGGAGCCCCCTGGCCCCCCCTGTGCAGGAGGTGAGTCGTGGGAGCTTGGGGGGCCAGGGCCACGGCAATTGTTGCGCCTTGGCTTTGCAGGCTCAGGCTGTGTGGGCGCCATGTGCCTTCCCAGGGCCACGCCAATGCCAGCCCTTGGCCAGGCTGCCCATGGACAGCTCCAGGCTGTGGTCGGCAGCAGTCAGGGTGAGCACAGAGCCAGGGGCCCAGCTGGAGGACCAAGACCGGGCCTCTGGGTCCCCCAGTGGGGCAGTAGCACAGCCTTCTCACACCCTGGGCGAGGGGTGGGGCGCAGGGCCTGGGGTGCAAGTCCCAGCGGGTCTGGTCAGGGGAGGGCAGCTGGGGTGCAAGGTGTGGGACAGCCTGCCCAGCGGCATCCAGTGTGGCCAGGACTGGGGAGCTCGCCTGCCTGCCCTTCCCAGGGCCGCTGGGGCTGTTCTCACGGCTTTGTCTTCGAGAGAGCGAGGCCCTTACTGCTGTCCTTGGAAGAGGCGGCCCCGCCTTGCTCCTGGCCACACCTGCAGGCCGGGCCCTGCCCCTAGGGGTGTTCCGGAGGCCTGGGGTGTGGCCACCCAGGCCAGCCTTGCCAGGGCCTGGGATGAGCTGCTGGTGTTGCCAGCCCGGGAAGGGCGGCGGCTCTCCTAGTTGGGTCTTCAGTTAACATGTGACAGTTCTCAGGTCTGACTTGGCTGTGTAGCCCCCGTCCTTGTCCAGCCAGCCCCCGGGCCCTGAGATATGCCACCAGGATCCACCGCCAGCCCCCACCCCCCAACCCTGCAGCTGCCCCTGCTGCTGCCCCAGTGCCGGAGAGTGGCCGGCCTGCAGGCACCCTGAGCTGGTGACGGGGCTCTCCCAGCAGTGGCCAGCGTGGGGGTGCGCAGGGTGTAGGGTGCACGGCAGGGGAGGGTGGGTGTGAGGCCTCCGCTGCTGTTCCTGCAGACGCAGCTCATCCAGATGGTGGTGTGGCTGCTGCAGCACCGGCTCCTCGTGCAGCTGCACACCTACGTGCGCCTGATGGCCCCGCCCAGCCAGGCCCCAGCCCGCCCCCGGGAGGACGACGCGCCCTTTGCTGCGCGGGGCGGGGGCCGCAGCCTCAGCACACCCAACGCCCTCAGCTTTGGCTCACCGAGTACGAGGCTCCCGTAGGCTGTGCGGGCAGGGGCAGGACACTCTGGGTGCAGGTGGGGCTGAGGCCAGGGTGTCCTGCCTGACCGCGCCCTCCACAGCCAGCAGCGATGACATGACCCTCACCAGCCCCAGCATGGACAACTCCAGCGCAGAGCTGCTCCCCAGCGGGGACTCACCTCTGGACAAGAGGATGACGGAGAGCCTGCTGGCCAGCCTGGCGGAGCACGAGCGGGCGGCCATCCTCAGCGTGCCTGCGGCCCAGAACCCCGAGGACCTCCGCATGTTTGCCAGGTGCGGTCACTTCCGGCCACTCCCAGCTTGCCCTAGGGCGCTCAGGTGCAAGGCTCGGGCCAGTGTGAGGGCATCTCAGTGGCAGGTGATTGTCCTGGGGCTTCCCCTGGAGGGCAGGGGCCCAGGCCCTTCCTGGGCTACAGCCAGGGTCACACTAGCCCCGATGCGGGGCTTGCTGGGGGTCAGCCGTCCGAGCCCCAGGCCAGAGCTGCCGGCCCAGCCCTGCGGCGGACGCCCTGAGCAGTTGGGGTCGCTGTTCTCGCTGGTCAGACGCAGGCCTAGGGACCAGGTGTGGGGCGGGCGGCGGCTCAGGGCTGCCTGGCCTGCAGGCTCCTGCACTACTTCCGCGGCCGCCACCACCTGGAGGAGATCATGTACAACGAGAACACCCGGCGCTCCCAGTTGCTCGCTCTGTGCGACAAGTTCCGCAGCGTGCTGGTGGTGGCTGCCCACGAGGACCCCGTCATCGCCGTCTTCCAGGCCCTGCTCCCCTGAGCTGCTGCCCTGCCCTGTGGCCTTCACCCTTATTGCCCACTGCCTGGGGCCACGCCACTCTTCCTGGGCTGCGTCTCAGCCCCCCTGGGATGTCTGTCCCACGGGCCCACATCAGCCTGGGGGGGTACTCTGGGCTGGCTCCGGGCACTCTGCTGTGGACATGCTGACGCTGTCCAGGGGAAGGAGCTGACCGCGGCACATGCCGATTACGACAGGCTCTGGCTGGGACACGAGAGGCTGCCTCTCCAACGCAGCCTTTATTTGGTTCTGAACGATTAAAAGCCTTGTCCGGGCCCTGGCTCAGGCTTGTCCGTTCTGCTCAGCTGCTCTGTCTACCACGCTGACCCAGGGGCTGCCCCGGACGTAGAAACGCAGGGGTTTCAGGGCCCACTCCCCCGCCTGGCCAATGCCCACCCGGGGCGCTGCCACCACGGCCAGCTCCCCGGGCTCTGGGGGGCCCTGCTCCAGCCACACAGCCTCGTCTGCGGCCAGGTCGCGCTGGTCGAAGCCCTTGTCGATGGCCATGGCCTGGCATAGCTTGGAGGGGCCGCTGCAGAGCTCACGGTCCTTGAGTGTGCGGCCAGCCGAGCCTCTCCGGAGGGTACTGCGCAGCTGTCGCATGGCCTCCTGGCCTTCCAGCGGCTCCAGCGCACGCAGCAGGACGCAGGCCCCGGCCCCTGTGGACGGTAGACAACCTGCTGCCGACACCTCCAGGAGGCGACTGCTTCCTTCTTGAGGGGGCTGGCCAGGGCACCCCACTGGGTCCCAAACCCCCCTCGGTCAGTGCTGAGCCAACCAGAGGCTGGCTGAGGCTGCTGCTGGGATGGACACAGCTGGGGAAGGTGTACATGGTTCCGCCATGAGACTTCACTGGAGCATACACCGCCAGGCCAGGGGGCTGCCCACCCAGGGAAGCCCACCAGCCTTGCATGGTGGGCCAGCCCTCAGTGGGGACAGGTCAAGGACGCAGGTCAGGAGCCCTGGCCCTCTTGTGAGGTGCTCTCCTGGTCAGGCCACCACGGGTGCCCAGGGTGCTCAGCTTGGAGGTGGCCCCTGACCCCAGTGGCTCCCAGGAACAGCCTGGGTGGACCCGGCAGGTCACCCTGCCCGGCCGCTGTGACCAGGTGCCTTCAGCCAGCGGCTGCCCAGGGACCTCAAGTGCCGTCCCTGTGAGAGTCTTGGCCCCCAGAAGCCTGCGGGTGGCTGGCGGGGCTGCACACTTGCCATCACGCCCCAGGAATGCGAGGCCCTGGCCAGTCCTGTCCCCATTCCTTCGGGCCGCCCTCACTGTCCCTGCACCACTGGGTAGCTGCTCACCTTGGCTGGACACATTCATGCAAAAGTAGAGGCCATAGATGAGGTAGACGTACAGGGTTCCCGGCTGCATGAACATGCCACGGTTGCGGGCAGTCTGTCGGCCGCCCCGTGAGTGGGCGGCTGCGTCCTCCGGCCCCAGGTACGCCTCGGTCTCCACCACGCGGCCCCGGAGCTCCGTGCCGTCGCTGAGTCGCCGGACCAGGACCTGCGGCGCCGGCTGCTCAGGCATGGCGACCAGCCCAGGCTGGGGTGTCCCGCCCCACTCGCTGCCCTCCAGTCCATGGCACCCTGGTCACTGCGTGGCTCTGTCAGGGCTGAGGGTCTATGGCTACGGAGCGTCTGCCCCGTCCACCCTCGGAGTCAGCCAGGCCAGGACTTCCCCGGGGCTCGGCCTTGCCGGACACAGCTGCCCCGTGTCTCGGGTGGGGCACCCCAGGCCTGACTTTAGGGGTGTCCAGCAGGTGTGGCCTTGGGCAGAAGCTCCCTGGTCTTCTCGTGGCCCAGCCCCTGCCCCCCACTCCAGTGGCCGGTGTCGGCCTCAGACCCCCCCCCATCCTGGGCCTCTGCCCAAAAGGCAAATCCTTTTGAAGTGCACGGGGTCGCCCCAAAGCCAGGCTGGGTCAGGCCCGGTGCAGCTGCTGGGGCAGCTGGGAAGCCAGCACTGGCCCTGCCGCCCACCGTGGGCCTGGGGGCTGCCGCCACGCCCAAGGCCCGAGGTGGACCCGGTGCCCAGAGCAAGCAGGTCAGGCCAGGCCCAGCACAAGGCCCAGGGCCAGGAGGGCCACCCCGCAGCCGCCGCCTCACCTGCCCCAGAAGGGCCCGGGCCAGCGGGACTGCAGGCTGGTCGAAGAATTCGGTTCCCAGCCGAGCGGGGCGGCCCCCGGGGCCTGAGAAGTACACGCTGCGGGTGCCGGGGGGCCCCTCACCCCGCGCCGGCGCCCCCTCCGCGGGGCCGCGCTGCTGCTTGGCCTCCGGGGGCCGCTGCCTTTTCAGGCCCATGTCCGCGGGGAGCTGCAAGGGGAAGGCAGAGGCGGCGTCTGGGCGGGAGGCGCGCGGCTGCCTCAGTTTCCCCGCGGCAGCTACAGGGCAAACGGGCCAGACTGGACGGCCCCAGGGGAGCCCCCGGGAACGTGGGGGCAACCGCAGGTCCCGCTCTGGGGGCTCGCACGGGGCTGAGACCCGCCCGGCGCACCGCACGCTCGGGCATGACCCCCCGGGACCCCGAGCGCCCCAACCTCGGCGTCCCGGGCCGGGCGGGGTCAGCCTGGGCCGCAGGGCTGGGAGGGGTCCCCGCGGGCGGCCTCCCGGGGCGGGCGTCCCAGGGACCCGGACCTGCGCGCGAGGCCGAGCGCCCCCGGGCGGCACCTCCGGGCAGGGGCGTCGGAGGCGGCCCGAGGCCCAGCGTCCGACCGGGAGCCCGGCCGGCTCTCCCCGCCCGGGCCTCCCCCGCTCCGCGTCTGGCTGGGGCCGGGCCGGCGTCCGGGGCGGGCGCGCTCACCTGGGCCCCGCTGCGCGCCGGCCGCGCGGCGACCGGCCCGAGCGACTCCGGAAGCGCTGCCCGCAGGCGGGGCGACGCGGGGCGGGCGGGGCGGCGCCTGCGCGGGGCGGGGCGATGCGATGAGGGGCGGGGCGGCGCCGGCGCGGGGCGGGGCGATGCGATGAGGGGCGGGGCGGCGCGTTGAGGGGCGGGGCGGCGCCGGCGCGGGGTCCCGGAAGCCGGAGCGCGGGCGGAGGCTCCGCCCCGGGGCGGGCGGGCCTCGCCCAGGCTCCTCCCTTCCCGCCCAGAGGCCGGGGTCCCCGGGACGCTTGGCGTGAGGGGGGCCCCCGCACCTCTTCCGGTGACCTGCCCCGCGCCCCCACTGCGCCCCGGGCCCTGCCGCCGAGCCCGCCCCGCCTCCCGCCGGCGCGCCGGGGTCCCGACCTTGGCGGGGCGCCCGGCCCGGGCGGAGGTGCCGGGGGCGCGGGGCGCGGGGCCTTCGGCCCGGAGGACGCTGCGCAGGAAGCGCCGGCCCGTCCGGAAGCCCCGCCGGGCAGCGGCGCCGCCGGCCTCCTGCCCGCCCAGGGCCCCCCCGCCGCGGGGACGCCGGAACTGGCCGGACACCCCCGGGCGCCCGCCCGCCCCTGCGACGCCCCTGCCCGTGCCTCGCTGGCCGCCGCGGCGACGCGGGCGCCGGCCCGGAGGACGGGGTGGGGGGCCGTGTGGGGGGCTCAGGCTTGGGGGTCCGCCCTCCTGCGGCTCAGCGGGCCCTGGGGGAGTGCAGCGGCCCCGCCGGGCACCCAGGACCCCACTCTGGGCCTCGTCGGCCCGCAGGGCCTGTGCTTGCGGCCCCCACCCGCCCCCGCGCGGCAGCCTCAGCCCTGGGCCGCGCCCCGCAGCGCCGTGGGCACCCGGCGTCCCACTGGGGTGCTGGGGCCGCCGCGCCTGGGCCCTCAGGCGAGAGGGGCGAGCCCGGCTGGCCTCCCAGTACCATCAGGGCCAGCCGCCCCTCAAGGCCTGGCCAGAACCCCCGTGGGGAGGGGCGGCTGCACGCGCCCCCTGGCTGCCACCGCGGGGGCCTGGGGGCCTGGGGGCGCCCGCCATCCCCCTCTGCGGGTCCCCTCCGGCCCCTCCCGCCTCCAGGGGGAAAACTGAGGCCGCGGGCTGCGCCCCCCGCCCGGCCTGGAGCCCCGCCTTCCCGACGCGACGCCCCGCCCGGCCAGGCCCGCCCCGCCCCCGCTTCCCGGGCCCGGTCTGAGGCCCTGCCGGATGCGGGGTGGCCGGCTGCCTGCGAGGGGTGGGCGCGGCCCCTGGGCTGGAGCGCTGGCCACCACCCGAGCAGGGTCCTCTGCCGCGGGTCCCACGTGATGGCGGGGGGCGGGGTCCCCAGGCTCCCTTGAGTCTCAGACAGGAGGGTCCCTCCAGGGGCCCAGGCCGGTGCTGGGGATCGGGGACCCCACCACGCCACGCCCACACCCCAGGGGCAGCCCCTCGGATATAGCCAGTGACCTCAGGGCCCTGGCTGGCCTGCCCCACACCCGCATCCTCCCCACATAGCCCCGCAGGTCCTGGGCCTCTTCTGGGCACCCTAAGCCCAGGGGCTGTTGTGATGCCAGGGCACCCTGCCTTGCCCAGGCTGTCTCTGGGTGTTGCGTCCCACCCCTCGGATCCCAGTGTGAAGCATGCAGGATTGGGGCGCCAGGCACCCCGCCAGCCCCTGCCCCTGTGCTGCGATGTCTGCTCCCCTCTTCTGATGCCGGTCCGGGGAGGAGCTGGGTGGGCAGAGAACCTGGGGCTCCTGGGGCCCCCGCAGGGGGCGCACCTGGCAAGCAGTTCCTGTGGGGGAATAAGGGCTTGCAGCAGAGGCTGCTGGCAACCCCCTAGGCCACTGCGTGGAGGTAGGGGAGGCCATTCTCCGGTCACTGGTCGGATGCCCCCTCCCTGGGAAGTGGGGTGACCCTGGGTGGGGCCACTCTGCACAGAAGGTGACCTTGGGTGGGGGTCTCGTCCGGCTGTGCGCCGGCCGCCATGCTCCTGCAGGTGGGGTGCGGGCGGCAGGTTGGGCGCGCTTAGGGTGCCTTCCCACCCCTGGGCCCCACCTGGGCCCTGCGCCCCACCACAGCGGGCCTGGGGAAGCCCCAGAGAAGGAGGCCCCTCCGGCCCCCTTAAGCGCCATTGTCTTCCTCTGCCCGCGCAGATGCCCTAGTGCCCTCAGCACAGTCCCCCTGTCCCTGGGTGGACAGGACCGGCCTGGGGGACGTCCCTCCTCAGAGTCGCTTTTCCTCCAAGGCACTGGCTTCGCTTTCTGTGCCGAGGACCCTGGTGGGCATGGCCACAGCTGGACGGTGGCGTGGCTTGCTGACCCTACTGACCGGGTGGCAGCTCTTCAGAGGCCAGTGCGGTCTGGTTCCAGACGGCCAGAGGCTGGAGGAGGCCACATTTGAAGACCCCCCAGACCAGGCCCTGGAGGCCCCACCAGCCAGGGAGTGCCTGTGGGTGGGGGTCCGGCGGCCTGGTCGGGGGTGTGGAGCGTCCGGGCGGGGGTGTGGGCTGAGTGGCGAGTGCGGAGCCAAGCAGGGAATGGGGGCAGCTGTGAGGGCTGCCCGGGTGGGGCGCGGGCCCGGTGCCCCTGCGCCTGGAGGCGGGGCAGAGGTGGGGGAGCCCCCCCCAGCCTTCACGGCAGGGCGCCGCGGGCCCCACTGGGTGCGAGAGGCGCCCGGCCTCCCTGACCGCCGCGCCGCGCCCGCGGTGTCCGGCGGCCTTCCCGGAGGCGGCGGCTGGGCGGGCGGCGCGCATTCCTGAGCCCTGAGTCAGCGCGGCCGCCCCTCGGGCCGGGCCCGCCCCCGGCGCGCACGCCCCTCGCTCCGCGGCATTCCCGGCGGGCGGCGGCGGGACTCGGCGCGGGCGCCTCCCGGCCGGCGCGGCCCTCCCGGAGCCTCAGGACCGAGGCCGGCTGCGGCGGTGAGCGGGGCGGGCGGGGCGGGCGGGGCGGCCGGGCCGGGGCCGAGGCGGCCGGACTTTCCTGCCCGGAGTTTCCCGAGCCGCGCGCGCGGCGGCCCAGCCCGGATTCCTCGCCCGGCGCGCCGCAAAAATAGCCGGTGGCCGGGTTGGCACGTCCGGGCGGCGGCCCGACAGCTGCGTCCCGGCGCGGGGCGCGGGGCTCCAGGCCGCTCCGCGCCGCCGTCCCGGCCGAGCCGGAGGTGGGACTCCCGGATCCTCCCTGACCCCGCGGCCTCGGGTTTGCGTCCGGCGGGCGCGGGCAGGCGGGCGGGCGGGGGCCGGGGCGCCCCACCTGCGCCTCCCCGCGCGCTGCGCGCTTGCAAACTCCGGGGCGCGGGGAGCGGCTCCCCGGGATTGCCCCTTTGCTCAGGCCAAGGGGAGCAGGCCGGGCCGCCGAGGCCCCTCCTGGCCCGGGCCGTGGCCGGCGTCCAGGGGCGCGGGCCTGGCCGGCGCCTGCAGGGGGCACGGCTGAGGGTCTGGCGGGGGTGGGGGGTGGGCGCGCGCCCCAGTGACTTGCCCGCGTGGTCCCGAGCGGACTCCTGGGGGGTGTGTCTGTGGGGCGGGTGTCTGGGCCCTGCCTTTGCTGGGAAAGCCCCCCACCCCCGCCTGGGGACTTTCTGGTGGGGAATATTCAAGGATGAAACTGGCTTTTCAGGTTTGGCTCCGGCCGGGCCTCCCTCCCCAGCCCCCCCAGTCTGGAGGAAGCTGTGGCCTCGGCAGCCTCGTCCTGCATCCCCGAGGCAGCGCCCACCTCCAGGCTCAGTCAGAGCAAACTGGGAACTGGACAGGCGCTGGGGGGTGCGCGGGCTCCAGTGCCCTGAATGGAAGGTGCCCCCCCCCAGGGGGTCAGGGCTGTGTCTGGGCTTGTGACCCTTCTCCCCCCACCTCCCCCCCCCACGCCCCTGGCCTGCTAGGGCAGCAGTGTTCCCGGCCTCTCTTGCCCCATGTCCCCCAGGGTGAGGGCCTCCCCGTGCCGCCTTGCCCGGGTTCCGGTGACCGGACCTACTTCCTGCCCAGGGATGGACTGCAGGCCTCTGCCTGCTGCTGTTTGGGGGGACTCCCTCCTCCGGCCTGAGACGTGGGCTGGGCCCCCGGCATCCGGAACCCTGGGGTGCCCTGCCCCCCCAGCTCCTGCACAGACATTCCTGAAGCTTTTGGCCCCTGTGACTGGCCTGTGGCCTGCAGTGCACCCGGAGGCCCTCCCGGCAGGACCTCAGTGGGTAGGCTCCTGGTAGGTGCACCCGCTGTTTAGGGGCTCCCGGGCTCCCCAGGCATGTCCAGCACTGCCAGCGGCTGCCCGTCCCAGGAGGGGTGCCCAGCCCCAGGGGTCAGACCCGAGCAGGGTTGGGGTCTGTGGGGCACTTCTGGGCCTGCCTGTGCCCTGGCCACACATGGTGACAGGGGACCTTCCCCGCTGCTGCCCTCAGCCCCAGCCAGCTGGACCCGTATGCCACCTGAACTGTGCGCCTCCTGCCCCCCTTGGCTGGCCACCTGGCATGACAGACCCCCACAGACCTCAGGGTTCCCTGGCCCTCTCCACTGTCAGGTCCAGCGGGGTTGGTAACCAGTCCTGGCTGCGGCTCGAGGGCAGCCCCACAGGCACTGGAGGGAGTGGGACAAGATCTGGGGCTGCCAGGCCGCTGAGGCCTGTCCGGGAGGTGTGGGTGGGTGACTTCTGACCAGGGGGATGGGTGACTGGGGTGAAAGGCTGCAGCGGGAAGGCTGAGGAGCCGGGTGGGCGTCCTGGGGCGGACCTTGGCCCTGGCCACGCAGACTGCCCCCGTGGCACCCACAGCCCGGCTCCCCAGTGCCGGCCGCCCCTCCAGCCTTTTTCTTTTTCTTTCTTTCTTTCTTTTTTTTTTTTTTTTTAAGATTTATTTAGTTATGCATACAAGAACTGGGGTACAGGCCAGAGGTGCGGGGGTGGTGGTGAGAGGATTCACCAGAGACAGAGTGGGAAACAGAACAGGTAGATCCACTGAGATCCACTGCTGAGGGGAGCAGCAGTCGAGTCAGGAAAGTTCTGCTGCACCCTGTGGGTCAGCTCCCTGGCGTGGGATCGAACTTGTGCTGTAGTGGCTGCACATAGCTTCATAGGTTGCGTCTTCACCCCTGCACCACCCGGGAGGCCCTCCAGCCTTTTTCTTTCGGACGCAGCTGCTGCGCCTGGCCCTGCTGTGGCCCCAGTCTTCGGGCCTGAGTGTGGCGGGGAGCAGACCAGCAGGGACTCTCCTGGCCCTGCCCCTGCCCTGCATGCCGGTCACGGTGCCTGCCCATTCTTCCTTGGACAGTCCAAGCCAGTGGGCGCCACCCCTCCTGGCCCCAAGGTCCTGCCTGCCTCAGGCTGTCCGCCTGGCCCCTGCTCTTTCTGAGCCAAGTGGCCAGTGCCGGCAGGCCCCACAGACTCGGCCCCCCACTTTTGCCTGTCAGTCTTCCCTTCAGAAGCCCCTTTGGGTGTCTCCCGATGGCGCTGGGTCCTGGGAGGTGGCCAGGCCAGTGACTCAGACGCCGCAGCCAGTGGGCAGGCTCCCTGCACCGAGGGGTTAGCAGGGGGATGCTGCTGGGCTCTCCCCCAGGCTGTCTGGGAACAAGAGCCACTGTGTGCTGGGGAGGCCTGGACACTGAGCCACTGTCTCTTCTGGGCCGCCCTGCGCCCTCCCAGCCCAAACCCTTTGTCTGCCTGGGACTGGCCTCCCCCCACAACCTCAGGGCCCCCCGCGCCCCCAGTACCTCCACCCACTGAGCCCATGGGGGACGGGGCATCATGGACACCTGCTGGGGCAGGGTCCCCAGGAGGGCAGGGTGCAGTGGGGTGCCTACCCCCCCACCTGCTCACTGTGCCTCACACCCTGCTGTGCTGCCCCTGCCCTCTGGGGTCACTGTCCCCCGGCCCATGGATCTGCCCTCATGGCAGGACGGGGTTCAGCCCCCCAGCCCGAGTGGGGCTCTGGGGGCTGGGGGTGTGGGAGGCAGGCGGGCTGGGTGGGCTGCCCTGCCACTGGCTCCGCTGGCGGAGGCCCCAGTTCTCGGCTGGGCCTCAGGTTGGATGGGACCCCTATGCCCCCAGGGAGCCCTGCTGGTCCCCACAGTGGAGCCAGCCCAGGCCGGGCCCAGGAGGGCCCTGGCAGTGGGGCTAACACTGTCCTGGGCAGCACCCAGGGACGGGCAGGGCAGGCGGGTCAGCCCTGGGGTGAGGGGTTGGGGGTTCCCCCTCCGCTGCTGGGCTGGGGCCTGGGAAGGATGGGGGGGCCATGGGAGGGGGGCCGGGTGATGGGCCCAGCAGGACGCCAAAGGACTGGGCTGTGACTTGGGCTGTGTGGGCGACGCCCTGGCCTGTCCCTGGTTGTCCTCCCAGGATGTGTGGCTGTGGGCCAGGTGCACTCTGTCCTCCGGGCCTCGGTTTCCCTGCTTGTAAAACATGGGGGGGGGACTTTCTTGATGGGGCCCTGGCAGGGTGATGGGGGCTGAAGGAGGAGGCGTGTCTAGCGGCGGGGCAGCAGTGGGGCCTGCTGGGGTCCCAGCGCTGTCATGAGGCTGAGCTTTTGGGGGCCTCTGTCCTCGGAGGGGCCTGGTGAGCAGGGTCCAGCCGGGCCCCTTTCCAGACCCCGCGGTTTTCGCGGGCCCTGGAGGGGGTGTCATGGAGACGGAAAGCTCGGCAGAGCTCGCGAGCCCCAGTGGGACCCCGTCTCCCCGCGCCGCGGGGGTCTCCCCTCGCCCGGCCTCGGGGGACTGAGCCCTCTGCGGCCGTCTCTGGGCAAAGGGCGCCCCCTGGTGGCCTCCCCGCGCCCGCGCGGGGTCCCGAGAGAAGCGGGGCGCCCGGGGTCCCTCCCCCCGCGGGCCGCCCGAGGCCGATTCTGGACCTCCCCGCTGGCCCTTCCCAGCGCGAGGGTCGCCCCGTGGCCTCGCTCCCCGCTGGCCCCTTCAAGCCTCCGCGGGAGGCGCTTTCCCGGGCGGGGCGGCCTCCCCGGCGGGCGCCCGCGCTGAGCTGCCCGCCCTCCCGCAGGCCGCGCTCCGCGCCATGGGCGAGGCCCGCCGGGACAGCACCAGCAGCCTCCAGCGCAAGAAGCCGCCCTGGCTGAAGCTGGACATCCCCGCCGCGGCGCCCCCGGCGGCCGAGGAGCCCAGCCTCCTGCAGGTAGGTCCGGGGGGCGGGCAGGGCCCCCTGGCCAGCCCCTCACGGCGCCCCGTCCCCCAGCCCCCGAGGCGCCAGGCGTTCCTGCGCAGCGTGAGCATGCCGGCCGAGCCCGCCCGCGCGCCCTCGCCGCCCCCGGAGCCGCGGCGGCCGGCGCTGCAGCGCCAACTGTCCATCACGCAGACCATCCGCAGGTAGGCGGCGGCGGGCGGCGGGCGGCGGGCAGGCGGGGCAGCGCCGCGTCCCCTGGCCCTCGGCAGCGCCGGCCGCGCCCGCCCTCACCGCGCCCTCCGCTCCCCACACCCTCTCCCTCTCTCCCGCCTGCGCTGGCGCCTCAGCTGCCGACAGGGGCGCCCCGGGTGTGTGCACACGCTGCCCCTCGCGGGCACCCCCGCCGCCCGCAGGGCTCCCCCGCAGGGCGCGGCCCGCTCCCGGTCTCTGCTCAGGTACCTGGCAGGCGCGTGTGTGGCGTGAGCCGAGTGTGCACGCGGGCGGCCCGCATGCCCGCCCCGGCCCTGCGCATGTCTGAGGGCTGTGGGCGGCGCCCTGGCCGGTCCGCTGCGAGGGCCGCCTGCGGCTGAGGACCAGGCTCTCCCTGGGGGCGCAGCCCTCTGCGCTGGGGGTGGGCCCAGGACCCCCCAGACGCCCCTGGGGTCCGCCGCCTAGTGGACATCTGGAGTTGGCTGGGGCTTGGGGTGCCAGGCTGGAGCCCTGCCCCCTCGCCCAGCCCTGGGCGGCGGGCCACGGCTGCCCCTGAGTGCCTGCGCGCAGGGGTGCGGCTGACTGGTTCGGGGTGAGCAAGGATGGCGACAGCACCCAGAAGTGGCAGCGCAAGAGCATGCGCCACTGCAGCCAGCGCTACGGGAAACTGAAGCCCCAGGCCCTGCGGGAGCTGGACCTGCCCAGCCAGGACAACGTGTCGCTGGCCAGCACCGAGACGCCCCCCCCGCTGTACGTGGGGCCGTGCCAGCTGGGCATGCAGAAGGTGCCTCCCTTGCCACTCGACCGGCGGCGGGCGGGCGTGCCGGCAGGCTGGCTCCGGCAGCAGGGAGGTCCCCCACACAAGCCCCAAGCACCAGGAGGGGGCGGGGCCCTAGGGCCACCCTTGGGAGGGAAAGCAGTGGGGGGCGATGCCCCACTGAGCGGGAGGAGCGTGGCTGTGTTCTGCACGGGGTGCCAGGCGGGGTGCAGCCAGTGAGACACCCCGTCCCACCCTGCCCCTCAGATCATAGACCCCCTGGCCCGGGGCCGGGCCTTCCGCGTGGCGGATGACACTGCCGACGGCCTGAGCGCCCCGCACACGCCTATCACGCCAGGGGCTGCCTCGCTCTGCTCCTTCTCCAGCTCCCGCTCTGGCTTCAACCGGCTCCCACGGAGACGCAAGCGGGAGTCGGTGGCCAAGATGAGCTTCCGCGCAGCCGCGGCCCTGGTGAAGGTGGGCAGGGGCAGTGCAGGTGGGGGGCGCGGGCGGGGGGCACGAGTGGGTGGCGGCGGGCGGGCCCGCACTGGCGCTCACGTCCTCCTGGCAGGGCCGCTCGGGTAGGGATGGCACGCTGCGCCGGGTGCAGCGCCGCAGCTTCACTCCGGCCAGCTTCCTGGAGGAAGACACAGCCGACTTCCCGGAAGAGCTGGACACCTCCTTCTTTGCCCGGGTAAGAGCCTGGCAGCGTCGCCTGCATCTCCCTGCGCTGCTTCCCGGCCTGACCTCCCATGTCTGCTCAGGAAGGTGTCCTCCCTGAGGAGCTGTCCACTTACCCAGATGAGGTGTTTGAGTCCCCCTCGGAGGCGGCACTCAAGGACTGGGAGAAAGCCCGAGAGCAGGCTGACCTCACTGGCGGTGCCCTGGACCGTGGCGAGCTGGAGCGCAGGCACCTGATGCTGTGAGTGCGGCCACAGGAGCCGGGCAGGGTGGGGTGGCGCACTGGCCCAAAGCAGGCGGACGGGGCAGGCGGCTGGTGCAGAGGGGCGCGGGAGTGCTGTCATCAGTTCTTGCAGGCTGGCTGGGAACCCTGGGGGACTCCTGCGTCCTTGCTGGCCCCCCAGGGGCTCAGGCCCTCCTACTGCTAAAGAGGCTGGCGCAGGGCCTCGCCTGTGGGGAGCCAGTCAGCACCGGCAGGCACCGGGCTCCTCCGGCCGGTGGATGTGACTGTGCCCGGCCCTCGCCAGGCCCCTGGAGCGCGGCTGGAGGAAGCACAAGGAGGGCGGTGCGACAGGCTCACAGCCTAAGGTGCGGCTGCGGCAGGAGGTGGTGAGCGCAGCCGGCCAGCGGCGGGGCCAGCGTATTGCGATGCCCGTGCGCAAGTTCTTCGCCAGGGAGAAGCGGCCTTACGGCCTGGGCATGGTGGGCCGGCTGACCAACCGCACCTACCGCAAGCGCATTGACAGTTACGTCAAACGGCAGATCGAGGACATGGACGACCACAGGTGGGCGGGCGGCCGGCCGGGGCGGGTGGCGGCGGCAGGGCTTCGGGTTGCGCGGTGCGTGAGTAGGGTGCTCCGCTGACGCCCCGCAGGCCCTTCTTCACCTACTGGCTCACCTTCGTCCACTCGCTTGTCACCATCCTGGCCGTGTGCATCTACGGCATCGCGCCCGTGGGCTTCTCCCAGCACGAGACGGTGGACTCGGTGAGTCCCGGAGCCCCTGCCCAGATCGCGCCTCCGGGCCGCATCTGCTCCACTCCGGGAGGAGGGCCCGAGTGTGGCCATACTGACCACCTGCCCCGCCAAGCAGGTGCTGCGCAACCGCGGGGTCTATGAGAATGTCAAGTACGTTCAGCAGGAGAACTTCTGGATCGGGCCCAGCTCGGTGAGGGCGGGGCCAGCCCGTGGGGGCCGGGGCGGGCTGGGGCAGGGACAGCAGAGCTGGGCCACAGCGCCTCCTGCGCGTCCACAGGAGGCCCTCATTCACCTGGGCGCCAAGTTCTCGCCCTGCATGCGCCAGGACCCACAGGTGCACAGCTTCATCCGCGCCGCGCGCGAGCGGGAAAAGCACTCGGCCTGCTGCGTGCGCAATGACAGGTCGGGCTGTGTGCAGACCTCGGAGGAGGAGTGCTCGGTAGGCCTGGCGCGCTGTCCCACCTGCCCCCTGCACCGGGCCCTTGGTGTCACCCCCCCAGCCTAATTCTCAGCGGGGCACACACACTGTCTGCCGTGCCCTCTGGTCACTTCTCGCCCCATGGGGCCACGGCAGCGCGCCCAATTGGGGTGCTTGTGTGCCAGGTCTGCAGCCTGGCCCAGGGGTAGACCCCTCAGCCTGCACATGCTCAGACCCTTGCAATGTGTAGAGGTGTGGTTCATAGCAAGCCCCTCCCTGGCCTGGACACAGGTAAATTCTGCCTCTAGGCCAGCAGGGCTCATACTGCGGGACTCTTGTCCTGAGTGCCCTGCAGGTGGACGCTTCCAGGGTCAGCTCCTGGAGGTCATAACATAGGGTGCAAGGGGGCGCTCAGCAGTTTGCTTGTGAGCACAGCCTCCTGGACTGCATGGGGGGGGATGGCTTTGAGGAGCTGACCTGTGTCCCCCGCAGTCCACGCTAGCAGTGTGGGTGAGGTGGCCCTTCCATCCCAGTGCCCCCGACCTCGCTGGCCACAAGAGGCAATTCGGCTCTGTTTGCCACCAGGACCCCAGGTCAGTCCCACACCTGCTGTGGGGAGGAACAGGTGCTCCCCTGGGTGCCAGGGGCAGAAGTGGGGTCTGACCGTGCTGGGCTTCTGCAGGGTGTGTGATGAGCCCTCCTCCGAGGACCCCCACGAATGGCCAGATGACATCACCAAGTGGCCGGTGAGCTGGGTCTGACATCAGCCCTGCCTGTGGCCGAGGCAGCCACACCTCACCCGTCGGTGATGCCAGAGCTGGCCTCTCACAGCCTGTGCCTGTCTAAGAACTGGGTGAAGACTTGGGAGGTCAAAGGTCGTTATTCATTCAGCCAGAAGCTCCAGGGGGACGTAGTGCTCAGCAGCCTTCCTCAAGCCAGGCGGCCTGTTGACCACCCTGGGCGCTGTGGCCCTACCTCCTAGCATGGCAGGGGCTCAAGTCGGTCTGGGGAGGCCCTGACCCAGCTCATCTCCATCTGTGACCCAGATCTGCACCAAAAGCAGTGCCGGGAATCGCACCAACCACCCCCACATGGATTGCGCCATCACGGGCCGGCCCTGCTGCATCGGCACCAAGGGCAGGTGGGGGCAGCTGGGCAGGTGGCGGTACTGGCAGGGGTGGAACCCTCTCCCTTGACAAGCCCCAGAGGAGCACAAGCTACCGGGGGCGGGCTGAGGGGCAACCGGACCTGGCCACATGTTTGGGCCTGGGGGCCAGCGGCCCCTCCATAGCCTGCCCAGCCCGGTCTGACCTTGCAGGTGTGAGATCACCTCCCGGGAGTACTGTGACTTCATGAGGGGCTACTTCCATGAGGAGGCCACGCTCTGCTCTCAGGTGGGTCTTGGGGCGTGTGGGCCCCCAGCCCCTGTGCCCTGCTGCTGATGGGTGGCTCTGCACAGGTGCACTGCATGGATGACGTGTGTGGGCTGCTGCCCTTCCTCAACCCTGAAGTGCCTGACCAGTTCTACCGCCTGTGGCTGTCCCTCTTCTTGCACGCCGGGCAAGTGACCCGGGGCTGGGCAGGGTGGAGATCCAGGGGCCCTGAAGTGGCTGGCTGGGTGGAGTGCCACCTTGCCCTGCTGAGCACCCCCCTCCACAGGATCCTGCACTGCTTGGTATCCATCTGCTTCCAGATGACTGTCCTGCGGGATCTGGAGAAGCTGGCCGGCTGGCACCGCATCGCCATTATCTATCTGCTAAGCGGCGTCACTGGCAACCTGGCCAGTGCCATTTTTCTGCCTTACCGGGCAGAGGTGAGGCTGCCCCCGTCCCATGTACACCTGCTGCCCAGTGGACGCACCCCTGGGCCCTGGGAGGCAGGAGGGGTGGAGTGGGGGGACTCCACTCACAGTTGTGTCCCCCCCCAGGTGGGCCCCGCGGGCTCCCAGTTTGGCATCCTGGCCTGCCTCTTTGTGGAGCTGTTCCAGAGCTGGCAGATCCTGGCCCGGCCCTGGCGGGCCTTCTTCAAGCTGCTGGCCGTGGTCCTCTTCCTCTTCACCTTTGGGCTGCTGCCCTGGATCGATAACTTTGCCCACATCTCAGGCTTCATCAGTGGCCTCTTCCTCTCCTTCGCCTTCCTGCCCTACGTCAGCTTTGGCAAGTTTGACCTGTACCGCAAGCGCTGCCAGATCATTGTCTTCCAGGCAGTCTTCCTGGGCCTCCTGGCCGGCCTGGTGGTCCTCTTTTATGTCTACCCCGTCCGCTGCGAGTGGTGCGAGTTCCTTACCTGCATCCCCTTTACTGACAAGTTCTGTGAGAAATATGAGCTGGACGCGCAGCTGCACTGAGCGCGGGCACTGGTGCCTGCAGCCCCCTGCCTGGGCTGAGCCCCGCGCTGTGCCCTGGCCCATGCTGCACTGTCCTGGCCACCCTCCGCCCGGCCACAACAACCCCTTGTGTGGCCAATAAACAGACTGGGAGCGTTTTAGCTGCCACGCCACACATGGCTCCTGCCTCCTGGTTTCTGGCTGACAGTGGAGAGGAGCCGCCCTGACGACCCTGAGCTGGGTCCAGCGGGTCTCCCCAGGGATGAGGACCAGGTGCTCAGATGGGAAGGCCCTGGCCCCGCCTGCGGCCCCTCCAGGCGCAGGTGCAGGCCGTATGGGACCCCATGCGGCAGCTGAGTGTGGCAGAGCTGCCGGGCCGTGGTGAGTGTGGCCACGGGGCTCACGGCCTGGACATCAGGGCCTGTGCTGCCCCCACACCTGGCTCCCAAGAGGCCATGCTGGTCCCCTGCCTAGGGTGCCATGGCTCCTTGAGTCTCCCAACTGGAAGGCCAGCAGCTTTATTCTGGGCTTAGGTCAGGTCCCGGCACTGTGGGATGAGCCACGCAGTCAGGGTGTGGGCGGGGAGGGGGGGGGGTAGTGTCGTGTGGTCTCGTCCCAAGGCCTAGGGTTCACCCCGACAGTTCCAGATGGGTACGCCTGGGTGAGGCCACCTTAACACGCTTGGGTAGAAAGTGAACAGTGACCTGGATTTCTTTTCTGCTGGGGCAGAGCCTGGTCACTGGCACTCAGCTGCCTGCGTCTGGAACCTCATTTCTGCCGCAGTTTCTTGACGAAGGACACCTCGTCCCGGTTCCGGATACCATAGCTGAAAGGGGAGCGAAGGTGTGAGGTATCTGAGGCCCTTGGCTGCCCAAGCCCCCCAGGCAGCCAGCAGCCTTCCACCTGCAGGCCCTTTCGTGGTTCCCCACTCTCCAGCTCAGGGGCCCTTCCCATCTCGGGCACCCCCATTTCAGATGCTCTCCTCCTGGAAGGGGCCTCAGTCTGCTGGCAGGGCAGAGAACTAGGGGGCAGCAGGCCAGATGCCTCCTGCACTCACAGTGGGACCCGGACTTACTCTCGGAGTCGCTTTCTGTCGTCTGTGAGCTTCTCCCCGGCAGAGGTCAGGTGATATGTCCTCCACACGTAGGACCTGCAGGTGGGGCTTAAAGTGAACCACCAGCTGGCAGAGGCAGGAGCCAGGAGGCAGAATCTCCTGATAAGGGCTCAAGGCGCTCAGCTCAGTGGGGCCCAGGGTTTGGCCTCCTCTCCTGGGCTCTGTTCTGTACCAGGCCTGAGACAACTACAGGGAGACACTCAAAGGCTCTGGGGACTCCACACACCCAGCGAGTGAGGCAGGCAGCCCTGCTGACATGTAGCCAAAAGGACACTGGACTGGACAGCAAAGTAGGGGTTGAAAGCAGCAAGGTGAGGAGGGGACAGGGCACTAACAGCTGTGCCACCTGGGAAGCCATCTACAAGACACGCGGGGGCCTGGGCCAGTGATGTGGATGGCAGAGCAGTGAACAGGGCATGGCCCTGTCGGAGGGCCTCACCCTGAACTCAGGCTCCAGTCAGGTCTCCATGGCAGAGGGCAAGGGTTCTTCTAAGGCACGTGTCCAGCAGGTGCTCACCTATGGCTCCACTCACCAGCTGATGTGCTGGACGCCTCCCTCACGCTCCTGCTTGAGCTGCACGTGCCTCTGGATGGCCTTCTTCAGGTCCAGGACCGTGGCATTCTGGACCACGACCACCGCTGCAACCGAGGAACCGAGAGAAGGTTCATGGGGCAGCCACAGGCCTGCTCAGCTCCACGCTGCTGGAGCCCAAGTCCAGCCAGATGGCCTGGGGCTGAGCTCCTGGCCCACACCACCCCGAGGAAGTGCAGCCACAGTGTGGGGAGGGGGCACCTACGCATGACTTCTCCGTCCACCTTGCACACCCGCACAGTCATGGCTTGGCCGTATTCCAGCGCTATCTGGGAACTGACCTCTTCCAAGGTGACCTAGGAGACAGCAAGGTGGGGTGGGGGTCCTGGGCCTCATCACCAGCTCGGACAGCAGCCTGACCACTGGCAGGCCGATGAGTGGCCTTCCCTCACTCGCTCCCTCTTGTCAGCACCTCGGTCTCGCTCACGTCCGTCCCACTCACCTTTTTTTTTTTTCCTCTCTTAAGATTTAGCCATGCATGCCAGAGCTGGGGTGCAGGCCAGAGGGGCGGGGGGGGGGGGAGAAGACTCCCCAGAGACAGCGGGGAGCAGAGCAGGCCGGTCCACTGAGACGCACAGCCGCGGGGTGTCTGGGCTGCTGCGCCTGTGGGCAGCTCCCGGCCGGCAGGGATCCAGCGCGCGCCGCAGTGGCTGCGGAGTCGCAAGCGCCGAGGCGGCCCCGCGGCCCCAGGGAGGCCCCCACATCTCCCGCCCTCGCGCGCAGAGCGGACAGCGGCTCGCACTGGCCCCGCGAGGGCCGGGGCCCTGGTCTCGGCGGGAAGGCCGCGCCCCAGCCGGGAGGGCCGCGAGGGCGGCGCACGGGGGCGGAGGACGCGGCCCGGGCCTCCCCCGCCGGCCTCGGCGCACCTGGATCGGGAGGTCGCAGAGCAGCGGGTCCTGCACCACCATGGCGAGCCCCTCCTGGAACACGTCCACCGCCTCCGAGTGCGGCAGCGCCTCCTCCTCGTCCTCGTCGCCCAGCGCGTCCGGCCGCGCCGCCGCCTCCGCCGCCTCCAGCACGGCAGCCCGCCGGCCCGCCCGGCCCGCCACCCGCCGGCCCGCCCGGCCCGGAACCGGCTGCCGACCGCGGGGCGCGCCGGGAGCGCGGTGGGGGCCAATGAGCGCGCGGGCGGCCGGCCGCGGGGCGGGGCGGGGCGGGGGCCAATGAGCGCGCGGGCGGCCGGCCGCGGGGCGGGGCGGAGCGGGGCGGGGGCCAATGAGCGCGCGGGCGGCCGGCCGCGGGGCGCGCCGGGAGCGCGGCGGCCGGGCCGGCGGCGCGGGGGCTGCCGGGAGCGGCGGCCGCCATGCTGCTCTTCTGCCCGGGCTGCGGGAACGGGCTTATCGTGGAGGAGGGCCAGCGCTGCCACCGCTTCGCCTGCAACACCTGCCCCTACGTGCACAACATCACCCGCAAGGTGCGCCGCGGCCCCCGCGCCGGCCGGGTGCTGGCCCGCCCCGCCCCGGGTCTGCGGGCGCCCGCGGCCCCCCGCGCCGGAGCTGCCGCCCCGCTGCCCCCCGGCCGGCCCCCGGGCGGGCGCCCCTGACCGCCCCGCGCCCGCCGTCGCTCGGCCGGCCGCGGGGGCTCCTCTGGGCCCGGGGCGCCCCCGGCCCCGGCCCCCGCCGACTCCCCGCGCCCCCCGCAGGTGACGAGCCGCAAGTACCCCACGCTGAAGGAGGTGGACGACGTGCTGGGCGGCGCGGCCGCCTGGGAGAACGTGGACTCCACGGCCGGTGAGGCGCGGGCCTGGGGGCGGCGGCGCGGGAGGCGGGAGTGCCGGGGTCTCGGAAGTGCCTCCGGGCAGCGCCTCAGGCCGCGGGCCGCCTCCCGGGGTCTCGGGGCCGCCTCGCCCCGGGCTCGCTCTCTGAGAGGCGAGGCCGGCGGCTGGCCGGGGCCGGAGACCAGCTCGGCGGGTGAAGTGGGCCTGAGGGCGTGTGGGGGCGCACACAGCTCGCGGGGTAGTGCTCATCCTGACTCGTTGCTGCTTTCTGTTTCGGCATTTTTTTAAAAAGATTCACTTATGCTGCAAGAGCCGGGTGCAGGCCAGAGGCACGGGCGTGAGGGAACTCCCCAGAGGCAGAGTGGGGAGCAGAGCAGGCGGGGTCTGTGGGCTGCTCCTGGCCCGCTACCTTTAACCCCTGCGCCCCCAGGGAGGCCCTTTTTCGGCATTTTGAGTCTGCAGTTCTCCAACACTATCATTTTAGCTACCCAACCGTGTGCAAACACAACATCAAAAGTGTTGCAAAGTGGGCCTCCCTGGGGCTCAGGGGTCAGTCTCAGCACCATGACACTGTAGCCAGCCACTGCGGCCTGAGTCCCAGCCCCGGCCAGGGAGCTGACCCATGTGGTGCAGCAAACCTCCCCTGTCTACGCGCTGCCCCCTCAGCAGTGGATTTCAGTGAATCCAATTGTTCTGCTCCCCACTCTGTCTCTGGGGAGTTCTCTCACCCCCCCTGTATTTCTGGCCTGTGTCCCAGCTCTGTGCAAAAAAAATAGAAATAATAATTTAAAAGTCACGAAGTTACAAAGCTCAAGCATTTTAGATACTGGTTCTAAAGTGGAAGCCAACAAAGAGCACTGCACACATTATCCGGGAGCCACAAGGCCACCATGAGTGTCAGCTGCAGGGGCCTGGCGGTGCCCAGAGCTGGCACCCAGCCTGCTCTCCAGTTGATTCATTTCATTTTTATTTTTAAAAGGTTTTATTCATGCATACAAGAACTGGGGTGCAGGCCAGAGGTGTGGGGAGTGAGAGGACTCACCAGAGACAGAGTGGGGAGCAGAACAGGTGGATCCACTGAGACACACTGCTGAGGGGAGCAGCAGGGAGACAGGAGAAGTCTGCTCTGCCCTGTGGGTCAGCCCCCTGGCCGGGGATTGAACTTGTGCTGCAGAAGCTGCAGACAGCTTCGTGGGTTGCGTCTTAACCCCTTGCACCACCAGGGAGGCCCCAGTTGATTCATTTCTGATGGAGATAGAAAAGCCTGGAGAAGCGGGGGGCCCTCTGGCTACATGCAGGGAAGAAGAGCCGATGCCTGACAGTAGTTTCTTCCCCGCAGAATACCCAGCCCTGCTTTGCTAAACCTCATGGCCAGGATATGTTATGACAAGGTTGATCATGTAGCAGATATTCTAAATAGTGTCTGGGACTGTTGGGTGACTCCAACAGGAGCAGGGTCAGTTTCTCAAAGCAGATTGGCCTGAGGGTAAACCTGTGCCTTGGGCGTGGGGTGGTGGGGCCTGCAGGTGTGGCCCCGTGTTGGACTGAGCCTCCCTCACGTAGTGTCCCTCCGGCCTCAGCCAGATTTGAGAAGAAACGAGGAATCAAATGGGGACGGGGTGTGTCCAAGGCCGGGGTTCTCTCCCAACAGGGAGAGCATTGTCTGTGGAGCAGAGCCTGGGGGAGGGGTGCAGAGGAGGTGCAGGTCTCAGCCGCTGCTGCCTTGCACTTGCCCACCCCCCCACCCCCCCACCCCCCTTGTCCTGAGCCCCTTCTTACAAGTAACACCGCTTGTCTGTTCCTGCTGCTAGAGCCGTGCCCCAGGTGCGGGCACCCCCGCGCCTATTTCATGCAGCTCCAGACCCGTTCTGCGGATGAGCCCATGACCACCTTCTACAAGTGCTGCAGCGCCCGGTGCGGCCACCGCTGGAGGGACTAGGCTGCCCGCGCCGCTGGCCGGGGCCTTTCACCGGATGGACTCGGCTGAGGTGTGGCTGCCTCCTGGGGTCTCTTTGGTTAACTGTCAGCTGCAAGCTGGTGATCAAAGTTGGTTCTGAATTTAAAATTAAAACAAAAAGTGACATTAGTGTCTTAGATCTCTTAAGTAGACTTTGTAACTCCGAGAAGCTGGTTACAAAGTTGCAGTAACGGTCTTGATTCCTTCTATGCGACTTCCTGGGGTGCCTCTTCCTGGGGTGCCTCTACCTGGGGTGCCTGTGCAGCTAGCTGGACGTCATGCGTGTTCCGTGTCAGCCTGGCTGCCCGGCAGGAAGGGCCTGGATGGCCAGGCCGCGGGCCCGGTGCTCTTGGTGGTCTCTCAGTGAGGAGCTGTGTTACGATGTGATGAGACCTCAGTGGAGGCCTTTGGCGCAGATCTGTGCTTTCTGGCGACTTGGCATCTTCCCAGAGATGATCAGTCCTTAGGGCCCCGTGGCGGCCGGCCCGGAGCCACTGTGATGCCGCCTGTCGCTCGGTTTCTTCTGGATTTACAGTTGTGGCTTCTTCAGTTGCGGGCGGCTTTATTTATGCATACAGGGCCAGGGTGCAGGTCAGAGTGGGTGGGGTGCAGAGACAGAGTGGGGAGCAGAGCAGACGGATCCACGGAGACACTGCCGAGGGGGCAGTGGGCGACAGGTGGGTTCTGCTGAGCCCTGGTGGTCAGCTCCCAGCACGGTGGTGACTGCTTGAGACTCAGCCACTAGGCTCCCAGGCAGGCCCAGGGCAGACGTTTCTTGCCTCCACCTCCCAGGGGAGGAAGTGAGGGCAGCGTGAGCTCCACCACCCAGCAAACAGGCAGGCGACCTGTGGCCAAGGACCGGCCCCACCCGGGGCAGCCAGACGGCAGCAAAGCAGCAGATTCTAGAGCTGCCTGGGGGGGCCTCCCGGGAGCCGGGTCGGTCTCAGGCGGTTGTCACTGTGGCCTGAGCCCATCCCCGGCCAGGGAGCTGACCCACAGGGCGGAGCAGACCTCTCCTGTCTCCCCGCGGACCCCTCACCAGTGTGTGTCAGTGACTGCCTGTTTTGCCACATGGGGAGTCCTCTCACAACCCCCCCACCTGCACCCCAGCTCTTGTATGCACAAGTAAATCAATCTTTAAAAGTATATGAACAAAGTGATGAAGAAACGTCTGCCTCGGGGACTTAAAACTTCCCTTGTCCAGGGCTGGGGACGAAGTATCTCTGACTTTGAGGGTCAAGAGTTAAATTTTGGAAAACAAACTTTTACAATTTTGTTATAGGCAAAATTTAAATAATTGAGCATGCCTTTTGTAATGTGGGTCCATTAATAAGAAGGTTGGGCACACTGTGTTCTGGGGTTCAGAGTTAGGGTCCTTCCCAATCATCTGTCTGCAGCTATCCCCCTTCATGCTGGTGGCCCCCTGAGCTGACAGCTCTGCCGTCGGGCCGCAGGGCTGGGCCGGGCTGTCCACTGCGGCTGGAGTGGCCACTGGCCGAGGGGAGTGTCCACCCCACCGTGTGACTTTGACTTCTGCTGGATTTGTGCTTTCTCAACTTTGAAAATGTGCTCCCAGGGCGCAGGGCATTGCCCATGATGCTGGGGCTCACGTCGCCCTGGACTTCACCCTCCAGCTCCCTGAAGCCTGCAGACAACTGGGTCTGGCTGCTCTGGAGCGCCCTGGGGTGAGGGTCCTGGTGGGCTCCTGATCGGGCTGGCTAAGGGTGGCGGCGTTTCCTTCCTGGGATGGACAAGGTATGCCAGTGTCCAGCCCCAAGCTGCCACAGGTGAGGCTGTGGCCGCAGAGCCTGAGCACAGGAGGGCCGGGCAGCTGGGGGGTCTGCGGGGCAGGCTTCAGGATGGCGGGGTTCTGGGGGGGCTGTCTCGTGTCCCTGCCCTGAGGCTCTGGTGGAGCTCAAAGACTGTTCTTGGAGGTGGGGCTGGCGGGCTGGGCCCACAGTGAGTGTGGTCATTGGGATCACAACAGACGCCTCTGTCTGGGTGGTCAGCGCTCTGGGGAGGCAGCCCCTGCCGTCCAGGCCCAGCTCACCCTCACCTGTGCGGCAGTTGCTGGGCACAAGATGGGTAGGCCCCACGCCGCCCCTCGCTGGGTGGTCTGGGCGGGGAGGGGCAAGGCCAGCCACTGGCTCTGTGTGGTGCCCTTTGTCCCTGCCCCTGTGCCCAAGAAGCTTCTGCTGCTGCTGGCTGGCACTGGTGATGGTCCTGTCTTGCCTGCGGCATCTCGCCCTCGACCTCCGGGGGGACCGTGTCCACCAAGTCTCCCCACCAGGACGCGCACCGGCCACCTAGAGAGGCCCACCAAGTCCGTGCAGAGGCCCGGCTCAGCTGTGGCCACCATGTGTTTATCTCACAAGAATAAAGTGAATTAACCCTTTAAAAAAAAAAAAAAAAAGATTTTATTTATTTTTGCATAGAGCTGGGGTGCAGGCCAGAGGTGGGGGTGAGAGGACTCCCCAGAGACAGAGTGGGGTGCAGAACAGGTGGATCCACTGAGACTGCTGAGGGGCAGCGGGGAGACAGGGAGTTCTGCTGCAGCCTGTGGGTCAGCACCCTGGCCAGGGATGGGCCCGGGCCGCAGTGATGACCGCCTGAGACTGATTGCAGCCCCCGGGAGGCCCTGGATTAAGCCATAAAAACGAGAGCACACAGTGAAGAAACTGAACACAGACGCCCCCACGTTAAATGGGCGCATTTACACAACGGTCCCGGACGGGAGAACCAGAGGGACGGGAAGGAAGTGGCCGGCAGTGGCTGCCCGGGACTCCCCACATGGGAGTGTAGCCCGACTGTCCCTTTTAACTCATCGGCCAGCCCAGGACCCACAGCATCCTCTGCGTGGGCCTCTCCCCGCCTGCCCCGGCCTGGCAGCCGCTGTCTCCAGCCCAGCAGGGCGGTCATTCCAGGCCCACTGCTGCCCCTGGCCGCGCCGAGGCCGCCCTCAGGCTCTGCGGACACCGTGTGTGGGTGGCAGGGGTGGCTGACTTGCCCGCAGCCTGGGCCTCCAGGCACAGGAGCTTGGCTGGTGTCCTGGGAGGGCGGCAGGCGGTCGCTGTCCAGCTCTGCAGGCGCCGGGCCTCCTTGCAGCCACAGCCGCCGCTGCACGGGGTTATAAATACCCGGCCTGGGGCTCCCCAGGAAGTGGAGTCGCCGGTGTTTGTGGACTCAGTTAGGGCTGGGGACTCGGTACCTTGCTTCCTCCACTTGCCTCCTGCTGTCCCGATGCTCAGGACACATTCCCGGCCCCCAGGACCGGCTCCTGCAGCCTGGGGCCGCCACCGCGTCAGGGCCAGAGGCACCTCTATCTTTGGGCGCCTGGACTCGAGGGGTCGTGGGGCCTCCCTCTCCCTCTCCCCCAAAGGCTGGGGGGTGGACAGGTCGACGGGCCCCTTCCGGTCCCTGTGGGAGGCCACCTGTGCACAGAGGCCCAAGGCGCTTGGAGGGAAGCACGCAGACTGCGGCTGAGGGCTCCGTGGCTCCTATCGCCCGAAGGCCTTGGAGTCGGCGCAGCCCGCAGGACGCTGGCTCTGCACCCAAGGGAGACAGGCTGCACCCCACCTCTTGCACGTCACCTCCTCAGCCCTGTCTCCTCCCAGCCCTTGCAGCCGATGCTCCAGCGCCGGGCAGAGCCCGGCCCTCGGGCTCTATGCATTCAAGTCCTGGATGGGCAGGGAACATGGGTGGGGGCGTGTGGCCGAGGGGTGGCCACTTCCCTAGGTCCAGTCCAGGCGGGTCAGCCTTTGGAGACCCTGGCTGGTGTGAGGGCTGCGGAAGGCTCAGGGCTGCAAAGTGCCTGGGGCTCCTCCAGGGCTGCCTCCGGCCCCCAGGCAGGTGCCTCCCTGCTGGACACCCCGCTGGTCTCCGGGAAGGTGGCTGGCCGCCGCCAGGACCGGCCCAGAGCCCCCCGTGCACCCCAGGGGGACCACGGGATGCTCAGCCCCACAGCAGCTGAGGGTGCAGTAGTCACTGCTGCTGCCACCCTCTGAGGCCAGGGGCTCTGGTCCCGCAGGGCCTGCAAGGGCCCAGTCCTCCTGGGGCAGGTAGGCGGGTGGAGGCTCTGCCCCTTCCGGTGGTCCCTCCAGCAGCACAGTGCCCCCATCCTGCAGGCCCGCTGGCCACCAGGGGTGCGCTGGGTGGTAGGTGAGTGACGCGATGGCCTCCAGGACGCCGGGCCCCACGCTGTCGGTGTTGTTCTGCGGCCGCAGGTGCGTACCTCCTGCCCAGGTCTGGAACACAGCAGGGCAGGGCTCGGGCGCACGTCCGGCATGTCCAGCGCCCGCTGGCCGCCTGCCGCAGGGGGGTCTGGGGTGGGGCCAGGGATACCCGGGCCCCACAGCCAGCGGTCAGTGCCAGCCTGTCCTCAGTCTCCTGGGCCCCTGAGAGCCACGGCCCAGCTGCAGCGCCGGGAGGGCTGAGCCCAGAGTGGCTGGTGTGCCTGGGCTGAGCCTTGTTCTCTGCGCAGTGGGGGGCGGTGGGGCCGCCCGCCCTCTGGTTGTCCCCAGCTGGTTCTTGGCCACCAGGGGACCCGTGGGAGCCCGGCCAGCGCCCGGTGTTGGAGGGCGTGGGGAGCCCATGTGGGCAACCACCACGCCAGAGGCCCCCTCACCTGGAAGCCCCCCAGTCTGGAAGCCCTGCCCCCGCCCCTCACCTGGAAGTCCCCGCCATGCCTGCTGTATAGCGGCTGGAAGAAGGCAGCGGGCGAGGGCACGTTCTGGTACAGGGATCTCTTCACCCTGCAGCAGCGGAGGTGGTGGGAGACTGGGGGTGCAGCGGGGGCCGCTCCTGAGATGCCCTCGGACGCGTTGGCATGGGCCGGCCACGGCCCCCTCCCCGCTCTGGGCTCCAAGCTTGGGCTGGACCATGGTGGGGGCGACCGCTGCAGAGCGGCTGTGCGGGGGTCAGGGCGGCGACGGCCCATGCCCAGCTCGCGAGGGTGCCTGCACCTCCGGGAGCCCCAAGTCCAGCGCAGACACTGGCTGCCCCTCACCCAGTACTTCCAGCACCCGACCCCGCTGCCTGGGGTACAGTCTTGTCCCCAGCCCCGCAGGTCCGAGTCCCCTCACTGACCTCTCCTGGGGCCTGACCCCAAATCACCTCTCTGGACACTGGCTTCCCAGTGACCTCCGGGCCCCTCGCACCCCCAGATTCTTCTCCCAATAGAAAGGCTTTTTCACGTGGCATCGCCAACCCCAAGCACTGGCCTCTGCTCCCAGCGCCTGTCCCCCCAGGTCCCCCATATCTGACCGCATCTCAGGAGGCCCCCGCTGGGCTGAGCGGCCGCCCAGATGCTGAAGCAGCACTGCCTAGGGCGGGCAGGGAGCCCAGGCAGGACCAGGCTGCGCCTCCCCGGGTGGGGCCTTCACCTCTGGAGCCTGCGCCGCCCCTGAGGACTTGGCCACAGCCCCACACTGAGACCCTTGGAAACCCCAGGGCCAGCGTGGAGTGCGGGGAGGCGCCGTGGGCCCCAGCACACGCACACGTTCCCCCATGGCCCTCGCCACCCACCTGGGTGACAGCTTGAACAGCAGGTAGGCCAGGCTAGTCAGCAGCAGGAGGGTGGACACGGTGACAAGGACGCCGTCGGGCTGCCCCCCGGGAGACCTGCCTGTCATGGAAGGGCCAGTGCTGCAGCAGCCCAGCCCATCCTGCGGCCCCTTGGGCGCAGCCGCCCCTGCCACGCGGTCCAGGCTGGGCTGGCTTGGAGGGTTCTCCAGACCCCGAGTCCCCGAGAGAAACCCTGGGCTGGCAGGCCTCAGCCAGCAGGCACCCCACAGCCGTCTTCCCTCCTGCCTCTGGCTGAGGCCACCCGGCTGCACCTACCTGGCCTCGGGGGTGCCGGGAAGCGCGCCGGGCTGCTCCACTCGCTCCACTGGCCCTGGTAGTGCTCCTCCTCCTCCTCCTCCCCGGCGTCGGGCTCCGGCGGGGCCATCTGGACGCGCAGCCTGGCCTCGTAGGTGGCCCCAGGCTCCAGCTCAATGGCATCCAGGACGAGCCAGGCCACCCCGAGGATGTGGTCCTTGTGCCGGGCCTGCTGTGGGGCGAGGACAGCAGGTCCTGCCAGCGGCCAGCACGGGTGGACTGGGCAGGCCCTGGACCCTGCAGTGCCCCTCTGGCCTGTGCGCCCGGGACACCTCCAGAGACCACCTGGCAGTGCCTGCCTCACCTCCCAGGCCTCCTCCTGCTGCTTGAATGCCAGCTCGTAGCTGAAGAGTGAGCTCAGCGGCTGCAGGGCTTGGTTGACCCCCCAGGTCAGGATGCAGCGGCCTGAGCTGACGTTGCTCTGCACATTGGAGGGAGGGTCCAGCTTCACTGGAACAGAGGGGGCCGCGTGGGAGCGCGTGGTCAGCCCACAGGCTGGACTCGCGGTCCCCGGGGCTCCCAGGCATGTTGGGGGGCTCCGTCCCATCTCAGCCAGCCTGAGCCGGCCTTCCGGACCCACTGCCTGCTGGGAACCATGCTGTGCGGGGCTCACCGTGTTTCCGGGCCAGGAACTGCGGGTCCACCAGGCTGACCTGCTCCCGCCCGGACTCGTTTTGGTGGAGGGTGATGTGGAAGCTGTCAGACGGCACCAGCACCTCCTCCTGTGGCAGCTGCAGCACGCACATGCCCGCCCGGAAGACGCACCTGTGCCCGGCGCCCGGAGCCTGGTTGCTGCAAGGGCACGTGTGAGGGGGACGGGGTCCGGGGACGGGTTGGGGACACGTGAGGGGGACGGGGTCTGGGGACAGGGGACAGAGGGGGGATGCGTGAGGGGGGACAGGGTCCGGGGATGGGATGGATGGGGGGATGGGGACGCGTGATGCT